AGTTGAGATTGATAAATTGAATTGCTACAAAATTCTTATGAGGTGTAAAAGCTTGTATTAATTTAGTGTTAATAAACTTATTCATCAATTTATAGCTTGTATTTCTCTTTAATATTTTTCCATGCTCAGTCTTTTAAGGATGTATATTTTTTAGAATATCTATATGTCTTTTTAAAAATAATAAAATTTTTAGGATAACCATATGTGTTTTCAGAATATTCATATATATTTTTAGAATATCCATATGTATTTTTAAAATGATCATTTGCATTTTTAGAATATCCTTCAATGTTTTCATGAAAAAATTAAAAAAAAATAGAATACGCATTTGTGATATTCAAATAATAACATGTGATGTCCATCCAAGTTAATAAATTTTAGAATATCAAAGATGTTATTTAAATAAATAGAAGTTTTCTTACATATAATTAAAATTCAAGTGCATATAATGGAAAAATTGCATCATGTGACTTAAAACCCTTGCTTTTAGTATTTTAGAATGTTTTTAAGTCAAGAATTTTTAAAATATGAAAAGTTGTTATTCAAGTAAATGGAAGCTTTCTTGCATATATAATTGAAGTCCAAATACATATAGTAGAAGAATTGTTGCATATGACTGAAGATCTCTGCTTCTAATATTTTAGAGTGCTTTTAAGTTAAGAATTTTTAAAATATCAGAAGTTGTTATTTGAATAAATGAATTTTTTTTGCATATAATTAAAATTTAAATGCATATAGTGAAAAAATTGTTACATATGACTAAAGATCCCTGTTCCTAATATTTTCAAATGCTTATAAGTTAAGAATTTTCAAAATATCAAAAGTTATTATTTGATTAAATGTAAGTTTCCTTGCATATAATTAAAGTTAGAATGTATATAATGGAAGAATCATTGCTTATGAATGAAGGCCCTTATTTCTAGTATTTCAAAATGTTTTTAACTTGAGAATTTTCATAATATCAAAAGTTATTATTTAAATAAATAGAAGTTTTACTGCATATAATTAAAGTTCAATTATATATAGTAGAAGACCCCTACTTCTAGTATTTAGAATATCCATATGGATTTTCAAAATAGTCATTTGCATTTTTATAATATTCATATGTGTTTTTAGAATAATTAGTTCTATTTTTAGAATATCCTTTATTGTTTTTATAAGAAAGAAAAAAATTTTAAAATATATATTTGTGATATTTGAAAAACAACATGTGGCATTCATTTAAGTTAAAAAATTTCAAAATATCAAAAGATGTTATTTGAGTAAATGAAAGTTTTTTTACACATAATTGAACTTCAAATGCATATAGTAGAAGAATAGTGCATATAATTGAAGACCTTTGCTTCTAGTATTCCAAATTGACATATTAACACTAAAGGATATTGTGTTAAGTGTTGACATGAAATTATTACAACGAAAGACCTTATAACATATTAACAGCGAAGGACCTAATGCAAAATATTGACAGTGAAGGACCTTGTTCAACTTTTACTTTTTTAGCAAGGGCATTTCTACCATTTAGCTTTCAAAAATTATTGCCAACAAAAGACCTCAGTCCCAAATCTCTCCCAACTCCTTTTCAGCAATTAATTTGATGGTGTAGTCTTTTATGACAATTTTCCCCCTATATTTTCTATTTTTATCAAAATGAATAAAAATATTTTCAACATAATACCAACTAACATATCTTCTAAGTTTCCAAAATCAAGAAAATTTTAAGGAAATAAGAGAGAAAAAGAGAAAACAAAATGTTTTAAAATCACCTACCCATTTTTTTTTTTGGATCAAAAAATCACCTACCCATTACTCAGGAAGAATTAATCTACAAGTCATTTTAGTTACCTTCAATTTGAAATTAGATCCTTATATTTTATTTTATTTTAATCAAGCTCTTATAGTTTGATTGATTAAATATATTAATCCCTCAAAATTAAAATTCTTGAATTTTTTATTTTAAAAATTTAAATTGAAAATTTTATATTTTTATTAAAATATTATATAAATCTAGAATTAATTACAAATTTTTTTACTCAAAATTTATATAATTAGATTATTTTTTCTAAAAAATTTTATATACACATAATTTTTGAACAAAATAATAAAAAATTAAAAATTTTATTAAATAATTTTTTTTGACTAAAAGTATCAAATCAATTTTTCTATAAATTTTAAAAGAATTTTTGTTTTGAAATAGTTAATTATCCATTAATAATTTTAACTTTCAAGAACTAATATATTCAATTAATTAAATTATAAGGACTTGATAAAATAAAATGAACTATAGGAACTTAAATCAAAATTGATGAAAACTAAAAGAACTTAACATTAATTTTTCCCATTACTTATTACTAGTTAGATGAATAAATGTGCTTAATATAGTTGGCAACCCAATCAATAAAAAGTGCTTAAGAGTTGGGCTAGGCCGATTATGTTAAATTGGGCTGAAAATGCTAGCTTAGAATTGCAGGGGAATTGGGCTGGGCCATTCAACAATGAAAATTTTTATTAGATAAAATAAGTTTTTATCTAATTAAATTATAAGGACTTTATAAAATAAGTTTTTCTTTTAAGTTTGATTCTAGAGAAATTTTTTGATTCTGGTTAGCTCATTCGTAGTTTATGTGAAGTTGATTGTCAACTAATTAAAAAAAATATTAAGATAATATTTGTTTTGTGTTCAAGGTTAAAATCATAAATATTTTATCTACATTTTTAAGCATAAAAATATTTTCTTTTGATTACAAATAAAAATAACTGATATAATAAAATAAAGCAAACATAATTAACATTGGGTGTGTAATTTAGACTCTAGTAAATGGGCAGGCTTGGTCCTTGTGAGCTAACAAAAGCTCGATTAATATAAAATAAGTTATTTTTTCAAGCCAACCATTATTAATTTAGAACTCAATTCACCAAAACGTTACTTGTATAAAAAATTAAAGCTCTCAAAATTTTTTTTGTGTTCCATAAATATTAAAAATTAATTATTAGTTTAATTTTTATTCAAATAATTTTATTTTTAAATGATAATATTAAACGGAAATAACTATAATATTACCTTTTGTAGTATGTAAGATATAAATATTTTGTTGATTGATCTAAACTAGGTTTGCTTTTATCAAATTAGTTAATTTTTTTTAATAATTTTACTTCATTTATTAAAAATATATTTATTTCAAACTATATAAAACACAATTCAAACAAATTTTTTTTAATACATTTGATTTTAAATATAACATCTATATGTAAACACCACCAAGAAGTAATCAATACGTTTGTATTGAAATTGCTTGACAAATAAAAAAAAGTTACTTAATCTAATTAATATAACCAATGGATGTTAGGTTTGAATGGATTCTTCATAACATGATGAATAACATTTAAATATTTATTGAATGAAGTATTCATATTTAATATTTAATTATATTTTAAATATATTTTTTTTTATCAAAAAAAAAGAATACAATTTTTTAATAAAATAGCACTTACGAGTTATGATCAATAAAAAGTAACTCATGTCCCATTTAAAAAAGTTTGTTGCATCAAATGACAGTATTTTTTGAGAAGACTGTGATGTGATGTTGTAGGGAGGTTAACTGAGGAGCAACATCCTTTCAACGTCAATATTCTCAGAATCCCTAAGCGGCCAAATCAGGTGCGTTTAAATGGTAAAATACTGATCAATACACATATCAATGGCTATTAAAAATATGTGTGAATAATTTATTTTTAAATAATAAAACACATTTGGAAATATCACATATTGATAAAAATAGCTCAAGTTTAAATCAAATTTCAAGTAAACAAACTAAGCCTATTTATATAAATAGGCCTAATTATAAATTTAAGCATGGTCTTTTTGTTAAACAAACCAGACAAAAATTTAAACAGGAGAGACAATATGTTTCTGCAGGCAAAGTTAAGCCTATTTAACAAAAAAATTTGATTATATTAAAAATAAGCAAATAGGCTTATGCACATATAACATGTGCTGCTTGAATTTTGACATGATCTATTTAACAAAAAAGATCATGTTTAAATTTATAATTAAGCTTATTTTTATAAATAGGTTAAGCCTATTTATTTAAAATCTGGCTTAAGCCTGACTTATTTTTATCTATGCATGATATTTTAAAATATATATTTTTACTATTTAAAAATAAATCATTTACATGTATTTTTAATAGCCATTGATATGTGTATTGATTAGATTTTGAGACTATTTGAACGGATTAGATTTGGTCGTTGAGGGACGCTGAGGATGTCGATGTTGAGAGGATTTGGTTCCATTAACCAATTAGATAAAATACTCTTTATTTTAAGAAGCCCTTCTTAATTTAAAATATAGAACATTAAATAAATTTTATATTATTTTTTTCATTTATACTCTTATTTTAATGAAATTAATGAGAATAGTTTATTTCATTAAGGTATAAATAGAAAACTGTGAATGATTTGAAGAAATTAAGATATTAACCAATTTTGTTTTAGAAATTTAAGTTAGTTAATAATAATTTATATTATGAGGTGTATGATAAATAACTTATTCTTGTCTTATGTAAGTTGTGTGATATGAGGATTGTGTAACTGTAACCCGAAGATAGAGATAAGAATTGGGGGGATCAGTGCGCAGCAAATTGTTGCCTTCTTCCACGTTACCAATTTACCATTGGCTTGTGCGGATGAAATGAGAGACACCACGATGACGTTGTGTGGAGTGTGGACTGTGGACTGTGGGTGTTCTTTCACTTCAATCTTTAGATAAGGCGGTTCCATGGAAGGATATGAGAGAGTTTTTAAAAGGATGAACTAATTTAATTTAGGCATCAAATATTAATTTTTAAGAATTTATAAATTTTTATAATTTTATTATGATAAATTTATAATTTATATTTTAAATTTTAATATAATTAAAAAATATTAGCATTTGAAATTTAAATTGAATTTATTGGTCCTGTTGGACCTCAGTTATTCTCCCGCGGTTCTATGGTCACTGTCCGGTTGCACAAACCTGGATTTGATTTCAGCCACTCTCTCTCTCTCTCTCTCTCGTTATATATTATTCCTTACCCAATACGCATTTAGACAGGACCAGAACCCATGTGGCATTTACCGTTCCCGGTGAGGAAGACGTTGCGCCAACGGAATCGTGCAGGTTTTTGTTTAACGACTTCTTCTGATGCAGTTTGTGCACAGTCACAGAGCAAAGCTTGAGGAAGAAATATGGCGACGAAGCTGACCACTTGCTTTCTCTGCTGGAACTTCAGTGAGCTCAGCTGTTATCACTCTAATGCAGTTCGCTTTCCCTTGCCTTCGCATCGGTTTCTCGGTGCTTCTTGTAGAATGCGACAGCGTAATCTCAGGTGCAAACCATCTGCTATATCTTTTATTTTGATTTGGAAGCGCTAATTTATTTGATTACTTTGTTTGGTCGATAATATGATTTAAGTTGATTTGCTTGGACGAGTTGGTTTTGATTGGGGAATGGAAAAATAGTCGTTCCTTTTGATGGATTCTTTTTATAATGTTTTTGTTGTCATTTTTTGTTCATTGATTGAATCGTGGATTTATATGAACATTTCATGTTCAATATTCATCGTGTTGTTGAAGCGAGGACATGGGATTCATTGGTGTTGTGTATGCTTTGCCTCTTTTTGTTATCTCTTAATCATATTCGAAAGGGTTAGCGAGTAAACTATTAGGGTTTTGTGAATCTAAGGTGTTAATTTTGAGAGTCTAATACATCTAAAAGTAAAACCACTTCATTTCATTGCGTTGATGAATTTGTTTCAGGCAATGCTGCGCACTTTTCATGAAATGTAGCTTCTCTCTTTTCCTCTCACTGAGAGTAATTGTAGTTTAGCAATCAATTACATATAAAATTGAATGTTAACCTACTTAAAAGAACAAAGAGTTATCTTTATTTTGTTAAATTTTTTTTTGCTTCTACTTCTATAATGTGGCTGCTATACTTTGCTGTCTAGTAATTGTGTATATTTAGCAATTAGCATGCCCGAACTCATACAACTGTTCACAGTGCCCAGCATAAAAAGCAACAGATCAAGAAAGCTTCTCATGGACCCCCTCCCACTGAGGGAGATCTCCATTCAAGTGAAGATGAGGACTCTGAGCTTAGAAAGGTTTCCCTGGATGGCATCCCAAACTTGAATCAGGAAATCTCGGACGCTACTACTGATATGGACAGTGACCGCAGTGATCGTATCAAGTATATTGATGTGCAGAATTTGAATAATCCTGCTATACTAGCTGAACCAGCACCTTTGGTATCTACTTCAACTAAACATATAGCTTGAAATTGCAGATGTATTCTTTCTGGTTTTTGCTGTAGAAATGCTGTCTGTTTTGTTCAATTATTTTCTGTTTGGATGTTGGTCTGTTTTCACACACATCTATGGTCCACCAATTTAGACATTTCATGGTTAAGACTATAGATTATTAATCTTACTGAGAAAATTGGGAGAGCAAAAAGTTGGGACGAAAAGAGTAAGAGATCAAACACAATATATCATTGAAAGATTTAATAGTGGTGTACACATAAAAGTGACTCTGTAACCTCTAATTATACTAATACCATGGCCGTACAAAGGCACTGTATCTCTTCTTTTGTGTGCACTATGGGTAACTTTTATAAGACTAGCCTCAATATGTCACTTCTGAACAAGATACTCGAGAAGTAATTCTTTTCTTCATATACTAAACTTTCCTAAATCCTTAATACCTGATAGCAAAACTATATCAGAATGTATAATAGTTCGGCCTTCTTTTTCTACATTTTCATCAACATTCTTTTATGTTTACTCTCTTGGGGATCATATGTTGGGGAAATGTTGAAATTATTGATTCCATTAATAACAACAACAATAACAACAACAACAAGTTTTTATCCCACTAGATGGGGTCGGCTACATGGATTGCAAGACGCCATTGTGCTCTATCATTTATCAAGCTTTTAGGAATTGATTCCATTAATCAAAGAACCAAATCATTGGCAGCATGCCACTATTGATTCCATTAATCATCCTCTATATCTTTGATCTCTGTTTGAGATGTCATGAGAAAGAGGAAGCTAAAAGAATATATCAATGGTTTCTCTTGCATGTACTGAATAGAGTTTAATTAATTTATTTATTTTGTTTGCTTGCATTCATCTATGTTGAAATTTACGGCTCACAAATTATGAGGATGAAGATAAACACCTTTCCTCATTTCAGCCCTTGTACCTTCTTTTGTTTTATAATATTGTGATAAAGAGCTTAGCTCCTAAAGATAAAGAAACATGATCAAGCAACCTATAGATAACTAACTCTCCCATCTTAAGAATAAATCTTGAGAATAATCCTAACAAACAACAATAAGACTCCTAAACAATAGTTAACTCTTAGATTCCCAGATAATAGTAGACTCTAAGTCTCCTAATGGGTATAAGTGTCTCTTTCTTCATTAGACTTACTCAGGGTTTCTCAAGAATCATGTTGCACTGTACCAAAATAGAAAGAGATTCGATTAAAGTATGAGAATGATGATTGCTTAAATTATAAGAAGGTAATATTAACTACTTCATCTTTTAGTGTTATTGGGTGTGATTCAGGATTTTCATTAATTATGAAGTTTCAATAGTGTTGTTTAAATTTTCGGATAAGTTATTATTTGTTGAAGTTGTTTCTAGATTCCAGTACTCTTATTTTAGTTGCTTTATGACTTCTTGTTTCAAGAATCTTATAAAATAGGCCTAGTTATCATTTGTCTTTGGTGATTATCCCTCTCTGACATATTGATATTGAAGCAAGTTTTATTTGCAATCTTTTTGTTTCACTAATTTTTGGTTCTTGTTCTGTATCACTGCTGATGTCAAAATTTCAAATATGAGTCCTTTATTGATCTTCAACACTAGGCGGAATATTGGTGCATGATCTTTTCAGTGCAAGAGTCTGGACAAATAGTTACTGTCCCATGAATAACTTTTCTTGGCTATGAAAATGATAGATATCTGTTATTACACTAAACTAAGCTCAACGTGTGCCTTGCAAGGGAAATTCAAAATTCTTTTGGACCACACAAAATTTGAAAGGGTAAATCAGTTCTTCCAAAAGAAAGAAAGATAATCAACAGTCATGTCAATAAATAGTAAAGTAATAGTGCTCATGCATTTAACTTTATATAATATTGACTGATTTTGATTACTTCATTTTGAAATAGGGCATAGTTGATGTGGCAGAGCGGTTGCCAGGTAGTCAAGTAAAGGATTTGTTAGGCTTGATAAAAAGTGCTGAGACAAGTAAGATGCCTTTTTGAAGCACTTGCAATTTTTCCCCTCATCTCCATATTTACAGTTTAATGGGTTGTTACCTTTTGTTGAGAAGTATTAGTTCTTATGGCAGACATCCATCTTTTAAATCAAGCCAGAGTTCATGCAATTGGAGACCTTGAAAAGGTTCTAGCTGAGAAGGAAGCATTGCAAGGCGAAATGAACTTGTTGGAGGTGAGGTTGGCAGAGACTGATGCACGGATTAAAGTTGCCACCCAGGAAAAGATACGTGTGGAATACCTGGAGAACCAGCTAGAGAAGCTGCAAAATGAAATGACTCACACAGGAATTACTGAAGGAAGAAACATTGAATTGTATTCACAGTACTCTCTGACTCGGAATGATAGAATTCATTCCCTTACTGAGGAGCTTAGCTCATTAAGAGCAGAAAATGCCTCCCTAAAGAATGTCATTGAATCATTGAAAGCAGAGCTTAATGATGTTAGGAATACGGGTGAACATTTAGTAATGTTGGAAAAAGAGCGCGCAACTTTGGAATGTGCTGTTAAAGACTTGGAAAAAAAATTGTCAGTTTCTCAGGAAGATGTATCAAAACTATCTACCCTAAGAATTGAATGTAAGAATTTATCAGAAAAAGTTGAAAATTTGCAATTGTTACTTGATAAAGCAACAAGACAAGCTGATCAAGTGACAATAGTTTCGCAAGAAAATCAGGACTTGCAAAGAAAGGTTGATAAATTGGAAAAATCCCTTCAAGAAGCTAATGCTTATAAGCTGTCATCAGATAAATTACAAAAATACAATGAACTACTGCAGCAAAAGATAAAGCTATTGGAAGACCATATTCAAAAGTCTGATGAAGATCTAAATTCTTATGTTCAGTTGTATCATGAGTCAGTGATGGAATTTCAAGACATAATTAATACTGTAAAAGAAGGAAGCAAGAGAAGAGCACTAGATGAACCATTGGAAGATATGCCATTGGAATTTTGGAGTCGGTTATTGCTTAAAATTGATGGTTGGTCACTGGAAAAGAAAATTTCAACAGATGATGCTATGTTATTGAGAGAAAAGGTGTGGAAGAGAGATAGGGATATTCGGGATACCTACATGGCTTGCAAAGAGCAAAGTGAACAGGAGGTCATTTCTGAATTTCTTAGGCTCACATCTTCTGCAACAAGGTATTAATTTTTTAATAGCAATTCGTAGCATTTGCATCTTCCCTTGTCTTATGCATACCTTATTTTTCTTCTATAGTTCAGGATTATATGTGATTCAGATTGCAGTAGAGATGGCACCAGTAGCCAAGGTGAACTCGTTGTCTTCCTTTTTGTTTTTCTCAACAGAATTTCTTTTAGTAAGAAACATGTCAAGCTATAAAATGAAAGACTGAACAGTTCAAATATAATCTCTAGCATACTTACAGGGATTTCCTCAATTCTAAATATCTCTTAAAAGCTTTATAACAAGCTCAAGTAATGTAAATGGATCTTGCTAATATTTAAATTGTCATCATGTGGCATCCTGCTTACTAAGATGAATGCTATTTAATTATGTTCAGTCAAACAAATTCTATGTATTTTGTCTTCCTCTTATTATGGATTTAAGATTGTCTTATTGGACTTAAGTTTTATATGGAGTACCCATGTCTCTGTTGTTTCTGGTCCATCAATTTGCGTTTTGCTTATCATTTCCATACCTATTCAGATTAGACAATGTTCAAAATCACTTCTCCTTAAAAGTGGTTTTGTCTTCCTACCCTAGTTTTCTGAAATTACTTAGATCGCAACCAGCTGAGATATCATCATGTTGGTGTCACACTCTGTTCTTCGAAATCAATTAGTCAAGGTCATCAGATGCATCGTAGCAGGGAAAATATTTATGTGATTATCTGTTTAGGTTTCTTGGTTAGCTGCTTTTAATGCATACAGTTAGTTTTACTATAAATAGGACAATTAACATTCCAACAGCATATACAATAGCAGTTGTAGACTTAAGTTGTTGAAAGACTATCGATAAATCTAAATCAACATTACTATATATTTTCTATTTGCATTGGATTGTGTGTTTTTGTTTTATTATTATACATTTAATACCCAGGAGTAATCTAATTTCAAATACATTTGAACCATGATAGTTTTCAGCTACTGTCCGTGTCATCACTTATGTTTGATCTAGTCCCATTCATAGTGCTTAGAGTCAGTAGGATCCACTAGGTAGGGTTGGCCTAATTCCTTGGTATTTGGGACTATTGATAATCTAATATAAATAGGCAGAGTTGAATAAATTTTTGAGTGCAGTCACTGGAATTGAATTCTTCTGTTTCTTTATGATTCAATGCACTCTGCATTTTGAATGCATAATCTGCTTCTCAGCTTAGAGAAAGTTTTCTTCAAGATACTTGCATAGTTGCTTTGCATTGATGGAACACACTATTGTGATTTGAAACATCCTTCATTTTGATGGAAACCTAAGATAGTGGTTTCCAAATTATATATTCCCTGAGAATTATCATGGTTTCTTTTTGCTTGCATGATGTGTATAAGACTTAGATACCTTCTTATGTGTTTGCAAATGAAAAGACCTACCAAGCATGAGAGTCCTGAATTTTTCATTTGTCACATGCCCAAACTTCTGATAAGTAGAGATTCCCACATACTGCTAGTCCTAAATATAGGAGCTAGTTAACTAATTCACATAGATTAACAAAATCAGGTAAGTTAGTTGTTTCTAAAGAAGAAGAAAAACGTATGTTGGTTTTCTTAAAATACTCCTTTTAATCATTTACATTGGAGGTTTATCAACTTAGCTTATATAGAATCTAATTATAGGGGTGGTTTGGGAAAAAATAATAAAGATGGGAGACAAAGGAGATTGGGGTCTTATATTTAGGGCCAAAACAAACCCTCTAACTAACTCCTGTTTTTATGACTGGAGGGAGTACATTGGCAATCGAATCACAGCCAAAGGGTATTTCATCTATCCTATCTAAAAGGACGGCTGATCAATTGGAAGAATTTGTTGGAGAAGCTAACAGATTCTGTTACTGCATGGACTCTGGGAAGGGATGTTTCATTTTTCTCCCACAGTTTTCCTCTGAAAAAGTTATTGAGTATCCCTTCAACTCAGATTTAACGGATACATGAGGTCTCTGTTGTCTGATTGTTACACTAGACCTTTTCAATTTATCCTAGGATGTCATAATCTGCTTTCAGTTACAATATTTTTCCCCCTCATTCACTCATAACTGTGTTAGGTTTTTTTGGTGACAGGTTGGTGGTTTGGGGGATGTTGTGTGTGGTCTCAGTAAAGCTTTGCAGAAGAAAGGACACCTTGTTGAAATTGTTCTTCCCAAATATGATTGTATGCAATATGAACAAATCCGTGAACTAAGGGTATGATATTCTATTAAGAAATGAATTTGTCTAGTTGATAGAATTAAGTGTCTTGAAATATTCATGATAATTTGATAACTTTTGCAGGTTTTAGATGTAGAGATAGAGTCATACTTTGATGGTCAACTATTTAAAAATAAAATCTGGGTTGGCACTATTGAAGGTCTGCAATTAAATTCTCCATTTTAATTGATTTTGTTAAGTCTTGTGTTGTAACCTAACTCTGTTTATGCAGGGCTTCCTGTTTATTTCATTGAACCCCATCATCCTGATAAGTTGTTTTGGAGAGGAACATTTTATGGAGAGCATGATGATTTCAAGCGCTTTTCATTTTTTAGCCGTGCAGCTCTTGAGTTTGTCCTTCGTGCTGGCAAGAAACCTGACATCATTCATTGCCATGATTGGCAAACGGCTTTTGTTGTATGTGCTATCATCTTTTTTTGAGTGAACTTGTTCTTTCTCTGGATTATATTTTTTATGCTGGATTTTCAACAATCAAAATTTTGTATTATTTGCTAGGCTCCTTTATATTGGGATCTTTATGCCCCGAAGGGACTAAATTCAGCCAGAATATGTTTTACATGCCACAATTTTGAGTATCAAGGCGCTGCACCTGCTTCAGAATTGGCATCTTGTGGTCTAGATGTTGACAATCTAAACCGACCAGATAGAATGCGGGACAACTCAGCGCCTGATAGAGTCAATGCAGTTAAGGTACAACAATAAAGAACTTTTTCTAGAACCATTATTCATGTGCTAGGATAAATGACAGCTTTAAATTCCAATTGTCAGGGAGGAGTTGTTTTCTCTAACATTGTGACAACAGTGTCACCTACCTATGCCCAAGAAGTGCGAACTGCAGAGGTATGGTTTTTTGACTCACTGTTGTGTATATAATGGAGTTTTGCTTTATCAAAATATCAATTTTTTGTTACGCAAGTAGCTGGGCAAGCACATTCTCTGACAAGTGTGTGATGAAGTAAAGGAAAAGGCCTCGGTCTTGTGAACAGATGTTTCAAAAAAGAGCACATAGATACTTGAAAGGGCCCCAAAAATTTATTCATAAACAACAAGGGACATCAGGAAAGAACTACTATTATATCATTACAATGGTTTTCTAGTCTCATTCTATCATTTTGTTGGGGCTACCTGTGTTCACAATGTCTCTGTATAATTGTGACACGTGTTGTGAGTGTCAGTTTTTGACATGCCAACACTACTGAAAGTAGGTATGTCCCTGCTTTATATCATGTAAGTTGTCATCTCTGCTTTTTAAGCTCGAACAGTTTGTAAAGAATCATGCGGTTTTTCTAAGATGTTCTTTTGGATGATATTCTTCTATGCAATGCAGGGAGGACGGGGTCTCCATTCAACACTTAATTTTCATTCAAAGAAGTTCGTTGGTATTCTAAATGGTATTGACACTGATGCATGGAATCCTGCGACTGACACATTTCTTGATGTCCAGTATAACGCAAATGATCTTCAAGGGAAAGCAGAGAATAAGGAAGCCATAAGAAGGAAACTGGGTCTTTCATCTGCAGATGCTCGGAGGCCATTGGTAAATTTTAATTTTAATTTCAGATGAGATGGTGTTTGATACAGTCGACCATTGTTTATTTGTTTCTTTTTCGATTTAGATACTTTTTACTATCAATTAGAATATATCAATCGTTGCATCAAAAAAGAAGAAGAAGAATATCTCAGTCATTAATATTTATGCTATTCTGTTAATTTCCGTCAATTTCTAAGCAATCTCTTTTTTATAGTTGATTTTCTGTGCCATTGCTGATTTTTAATTATGTGCTACACCACCAATGCAATAATGATGTTCATTGTCAAATAACTTTACATTATCTTGTATGAATTTTTCGCTCTGGACTTGTGAACCAGGATGCTTTGATACTTTTTTTTTTTTTAAATTTTATTATTTTATAGGTTGGTTGCATAACAAGGTTGGTGCCCCAAAAAGGTGTCCATCTAATTAGACATGCAATATATCGAACATTGGAGCTGAGAGGACAGTTTCTTCTTCTCGGTTCAAGTCCGGTCCCGCATATTCAGGTTTTACTTGCTTCCCTTCTATCTGAAGTTAGGGGTTCTATTTCAGTTTACACGAAGAAAAGTTAAGGAACAGATGGAAAGAAACTAGAAAAACAAAAAAGTCACATCAACTTAAAAATGAGGTGAAGTTCGTGGAAAAATTATGACTTACAATTATAACTTCAAAGATAAAAGGTTGAGATCCCTAAGACAGGTTTTTTCATTATATAGGCAATTCATATAACCCTAATTCCAATATAACAAGTGACAGAAGCTCAAGACTTAAGAAACCCAAGCTTAAGAACCAGATCTTCGTCCTGAAGAGTAGTATTACAATATTACATGAGATCAGATATCCACAAGCCTAACCAACTAAATCCTAAATTTCAAATAACTAACCATAATTCCTCAATTTTAAACGCATCATAAATCATTATAATAATCTCAATTTCATTCCATTGTATTGCACTGGGAAAATCATACGAAATTTAGTTTTTCAAATAATATTGAGCTCAACTCGTTAAATGAATGTTCTGTTTTGGAAGTTGGCTGTTATGATACTTGTTATATTGTGAATTATTCTCGTTTTTAGCAGATAAATTGTCTTAGCTGAATCTTTGTTTCTTTTTCTAAGTGTTGCTGTCTTGTATCAATTCATCTTTTTCTCAAAAAATTATAAACCAATTCATTTTTCCCATTTTTTGTCAAGTGATTAACATTTTTCTCTTCCCTAGAGAGAATTTGAGGGCATTGCCAACCAATTTCGGAATCATGATCAGATACAATTGATATTGAAGTATGATGAATCTCTCTCGCATGCCATTTATGCTGCATCTGACATGTTCATCATTCCATCGATCTTTGAACCTTGTGGGCTAACACAGGTAAAGTTTAAATGATTGTTCTTGCAGTTTGGAGTAACTGTGTTTTTGCTCCATTGTTTTCACATTCTATAATGTATATGACAAGCAGATTTTTGCTTCATTATGTTCATGATATATCATCATGATAAATATTGCTTTTACATATATGTGAAAAGAAAACTAAGTTGCCAATAAATGGTTTTGTACGTCCACTTACTCAATTTAATTGATTCTGTAATCAAACGCAATCCAACCTGCATGTGTGGCAAATAAGTGTTAAAGAGAGCAAGATGGAAATGCAGAAAGAAAGGCCGTGAATGCAAGGGGTTAGTGGGAGTTGGTTTGGACCCTCAAGTCTATGAAAGTGAGATCAATTAGTTTAAGGTTTTAACTAAGGGTATTATTTTCTAGGGATGGAACATGATTGAGCGTGGTATGGAGGTAACAACAGTGATAACTAACGCTAACATGATAGTATTAGCAGTGCAAAACAAAGGCAGCAGGCCCTGAAGTCAGTGACGTTGGACTGCATACTGTATAGCAATGAGGGGACAAAAATGACTTGCTTGCAACGTTGGCATAATTGCTTTCATAACATTTTGCTTTACTTCTGTGATTCTGTGTCGGTTCCACACAATGAAATGGTTCTTTAGGACGATATCCAAAATAAGAATAAGGCTATAAGGATGTTGAATACCATATCCTTACCTATAAACTGAATCCTAGAGGTATGCACAGACAATGTGCCTCCTATTTACCAAGATGTTTTGCTGAATGCATATGTTAGCATTTCTCAGTATGAAACATCTTTTACTTTAGCTTCTGCATCCCATTCCCAAGTCTCCTCTTTTACCTGTACCCAGAATTCTCTTATTTGCAGATGATATCAATGAGATATGGTGCTATACCCATTGCCAGAAAAACTGGTGGTCTAAATGACAGGTTTGTATATTCCACATTATTTCGCCACATTAAAGTGTGATTCTTCTTACACGAAAAGTAATTAAATTCTGTATCTTGTAGTGTTTTTGATGTTGATGATGACACAATACCTTCCCAATTCCGAAATGGATTTACATTTTTGAACGCTGATGAGCAGGTATGTTAGTGATATACCTTGTCCCCTATGTCGTCCACTATCTTACATAATAAAATCGGTTATGACAAGGTTTGTCACGCTGGTTCTTTCATTAATGGTATGTTTGGATTGAGAAAAGTAAGGAAGGGATGGCAAGTTTTAGATTAAAATTTAGGGTTAATGATTTAATTAAATACATCCTCTTGGATTCTGCTCAATTCAGACACAGTCCGTTTCACCTCCTTCCCTGCATCTTGCACGTCTCACCTTTAAACATTATTGTCCACTTGAGAAACCTTGATCTAATTTGTCATCTGTTTTGATATGATCTAATTGGACAGGGATTAAACGGTGCATTGGAACGTGCCTTCAACCTCTACAGGAACAATCCCGAGAGCTGGCAGAAGCTTGTTCGGAAAGACATGAACATAGACTTTAGCTGGGATTCTTCAGCAGCTCAATATGAGGAGCTTTACTCAAAGGCTGTAGCTAGAGCAAGGGCAGCAGCAAAACGTGCTTAAATTAACGTGTTTACCTTATCACTTCTAAAGTTAAAGCTGGCTGAAGTTTCCAATTTTTTCTATATAGTGATGAAAGCTCAGATTTAATTGATTGATGATTGCTAAAGAATGAGAGGGATCTAGCTGATTGAGGATATCTGGCTTGGATGAACACGTTAGCTTGAGAAGTATATATTGAATGCGTTACGATTGGGACGTATATAGTTGCTGAAACTGCTCGTCTGGTTCCTCGTTTTGCATTTGGCTGGGGTCCTTTGGAGTGGTCGATGAAGCATCCTGTCAAATGACAAAATGCTAGATTGTATTTTGAACTCATACGCCTTGCAAGATTCTGATATTCTTTTTCCCAATCTTTTCTATTTCTCAATTTTCAAAGAGTGTATAAATATAAAATTCCTACATGTAAAGCCTTACAACAAAATCAATAGAAAATGTTTTCTGCCTATAGCATATTAACGCCGTTAGTGTATGATTGCGCCTTTGTATTTTTAGTTGCCAAATGCTCTTCCACTGACTTTTCTATTGGTTTGTATCATCTGCTCTTTATACATACCATGTTTCCCTATAAAATTAAACAAGAAGCCGTTTCAATTTAATATGAATAGTTTAAATTCTCAAGTCTTTCTTCTTTTTTATTGAGTTAAAAATTTCACTTCTACAAATTTAAAAGATTTATTGTATGATACGGTTTACTCTTTCTAAAATAAAAATATTAATATTATTAAAAAAACATCTGACTTCCTAAATTAAAAATAAGCACCTTATCAATTTATAGATGAGCACAAGGTTCACAAGCTTGTCCACGATGCTATCTTAATTAACACCAGTAGCACATATAATCAGGTATGCAATTCAAAACCTCAACCATTAACACCAGTAGCAAATCTAATCAGGTATTTACATCCACCGCCTAGGGTCATGAATTTTTTAGGCGTACAGTAGCATCGTATCAATATGAACCTTACGTGCTCTCGAAAATTAAAATCTAGAAGTTAAATGAATGGGCATGTAAAGTTTAGAACATAATAGTTTATACAAGACTAGGTAGAAGAGAGGCCAAGAAATTAGATCAATCAGTTCAGTTCACATAAAATGGGAAAATTCTGAGGAACATCGTGGCCAACAATTTATATCAAGGGCATTAACAGAATTCAAAGAGGACTACAATCATATATCAGACCTAAATTGACGAAACAGAACATCCAGGTGGCCCCAGAATCCTCGTTAAAACAGAGGAACGATGAGCCTTCAAAAATATGAGCGTAAACACTAAAGCAGCTACCAAGTAGTAATGCTTCATTCTGGATCAGGTGAGCCACCAGGAACCAACTGTAATAAGCATGACACAAAGCATAAGCCTCACTAATTGATGCTCAAAAAATTGCATGAAAATAAATATGAGGACCTATGCCTCATAATATCATTAAGACCTTTAATCTCTTTCAGGGGCTAGAAGAATAGTTTGCTAATGCTTCCAAAAAATTACAAACTCATGATCCCTAAAATTACAACTTGGTCTTTCAAATATCACATAGTAACAAACCCATAACAATAACAACATTGAAAAACCATGTTGTAATTTTGAAGGATGATGAATTGCAACTGTAAGAAGCAAAAGTGGTAACTTATTTTTACAGTCCCTGGAAGAGATTTTGATTTTTTTTAAAATCTTGAATTGTCAAGATTATGATTTATTCATTATGGATCCTTGAATGTCATTTTCGTTTCTCGTTACTTACAATGGCAATGTTGTTTCCATTAAGTAAAATCTGGTCCAGCTTTGTTATCCGTCTCCCTTCAGCAGTGATCTCACTGTCATACGAATATAATAGCAATATACCAAAACAGCTTATTATTTGCTTTAGACGACCATAAATGCATGCAGGCACAAACTTACAAATCGGAGAAAGAAGTAAAATTAAAATAACCCCAGGGTAAGCCAGAATTTTCTCAGAAAGTACAATGGCATAGCTTAGTTAATCAGAAGCAAAGTTGCCTCTCAAGTTCCAAACTTTGACCAGATATTCAAATATTTCAAACAGCAAAAAGTTCAATGGGCATGGAAAAACTTGAATCTGTAAACTCTATCAGTCTATCTTCACTCTTCAGCTCCTTTTTGTTAATTTCCTTGCAGATAACTATATGTTCACAGGTTTTATAGGGAAACAACCAGATGGCCACAATTCAGTAACAGAACATCAATATCAAAATTAGAGCATGTATGAAGACTAGGTTTCAGTGAAGTTCTTACTATTCAGTAACATCTTCAAGCACCATGTTGACATATACATCAAAACCTTTGAGAGTACCAACAAGCTCCTTATCTCCTTTCATTATTACCCATAGTTTTGACCCTATACATCGGTCAATCAACTCTGTTTCCAGCATAAATATCCCATAAACAGAGTTCAGTGCTTTATTGGGGGAAAACGAACAAAGTAGAATTAGAGATAGCATGTAATCAGAAGAGTGCGAACCTGATGGAAGAAGCTGCGATGGGTTGTTAGCCATAGACACTCAGTAGGTGATTTTCTCAAAATCTACGGAGACCTACAGGTTACGCGTTAATTCTCAATAGCATAAAAGTACAAAGGCAAGCTTGCTAACATCGATTGATGGTAAAGAAACAAAAATTCGAACAATGAGCAACGAGCTGGTCACTGGACAGTAGACATCATTACAAGGTGGTAAGAACCTAGAAGGAGAGAAAAAGATATAATTGCTTAACATCAGGCTTCGAGCTTCAAAATAGTCCATTAACTGGAGTAGTTATTATAACTCTATAATGTGAGGTGAACGAGAAATACTAAATAGTTAATGATACACTGTTTCCTTCAGAGAAACTCAACAAAGTCAAAATTATCTAGACGATGAACAATGAAAAGACCAACTAACTAAATCTAGAAAAATTCAGAAAATAAGTATAAGAAGACATAGACCAAGAGGGGAAAAAATGAATACAAAGCGGGGAAATCAAAATTTAAAAAAATTTGCCCATGGATCCCGTGGATAATAGTTTCCGAATAATGGGGGAAAGGACTAAGTTCGACAGATGCTTCAGAAAACGAAATCATCCTTCCCCTTCTCTCACCGAACCTTCCGACAAAAACGAAAACAGAACTTCACCAGATTGTGAAGAAAATCATATCAAAATATTTATACTCTGGACAAAATACTAAAAAGAAAAACAGAAACGATAGGGTTATATTATCAAGCACAATGAAAAAGCCATGAACGAGTTACCTCTCGAGCTTCGCTGAGAAGAAATGAACTTTGAAAGCCACTTCTGTGCCCTAAACGTCCATTCGTTGCTTTCTTGTTTCTTTTTCATTTTCTTTAGTAATTTTTTTTTATCAGCATTTTCTTTTAGTAAGTTATTTCCTCTTTGCTTTGAAAAATATTAAAATCACATTATCATTTTTTTAATATTTTACTCCTAAACGATGCTCGTCATTTTTTTTTTAAATCAAAGATGTGGCTCCTCTGATTGGTAATTAAAATATAGTCAAAATATTATAAGAATGACAAAATTTATTCCTCCCTTTTTTAATAATAAGTCAATATTCTAAAACGAATTGACATGAAAAGTTGATGAGTGAATATAAAATCATTATCTGGTGTGTTTTGAATCTCACAAGGCCATGCTGAGTGATCTAAGGTCAGCTCAATACGTGCATGACATGGCTCCTTTTGAGAACAGATTAAATCTCGTCTTCACTTGAGTCTATCAATTAAATTTTTTTTTTCTTTATGATTTTAGGCTAACACAATTATAAAAAAGGCTCAAACTAAAAACAATGGGAGGGCATGAGAGATAATTGACATAAAAAATCATCTCAATTTCACTTTTTTGAATTACTTACCCTATATTTCATATTTAAATTTAGTTTATTTTTAGTTTGTAAGTTTTTATAACTGTAATTTTATACCTTATTTTTCATTCATCAAAAACACTTTGTGGAGGTGGAGGATGAAGTAGTGGGAGCTCTATGAGGACTGAGTAGGATGAGGGTAAGGCCACGTGAGGAGAGGATTTCAATGGGTATTTTATTATTTTTGTCATTGCATCTCTAAATTTGGGGGGCTTGGGACTTTAGAAATATTTTTACATTTCACGAGACTTTAAAGTATTTAATGAATTTTTATGAAAGTGACTTTTCCTTTCTCTTTATGAAAAACTCATATATTTAGTCTTATATACTAAATGTATTTGTTTTCAATTAGACGTATGTTTTTAATTAAACCAAGACATGTGAATCTTATATAAATTATTTAATTATTATTATTAATTTTATTAATATATTAAATCCACTTGTTATAATTTGATTAGATATAAATATATTAAGTATATAAGATTAAGTATGTAAGTCTTATTTTTTCTCTTTCCCTATCTTTTCCAAGCATCAACTGTTAGAGTAACATACAAAATACATACACCCTATTTGGTACATGGAATTAAAGGGTTGGGTTTGGGATTGTGATTGTAAAAGCCTAACTTTTTATATTTAGTATGAATCATTTAGAAGACCAATATGAGTCTCAATCCTAACTTTTATGGGATTTTTCAATACCACAACCCTATGGAATTGAAAAATCAATTTTCAGATTAAAAATATTCAGACTAAATTTCCCTTCACACGTTTCTCTTTCCATCGTTCCTCTCATCTCCATCCTCGATAGTATGCTATCTTTCACTTTTGCTCCCTTCTCCCTCTATCGTTATCTTTCCTTTCTTCGGCATCTTCAACCAAGAGAGCAATGTCACTGGTACTCGTTCGATTTCAAGTTTGCCATCAATGGTGATTTGGTTTGATTCAAGCATCCTCGCTGATGTTGTCGAAGTGGGGAGTTGGGTCACCAGGGGGTTTCAAATTTGTCGAGAACCATTTGCTGGAAGTTGCTATTAATTAAATATGGATTAATGTTATTTCATTGTAGCTTAGAAGCATTTGTTCATCGGATATCTCATCTCCTAGGATTATTTTCGACTTGCAGCACAATGACACAAAAATGAGGGCAATATCTTTTACATTATTTTTGTTTCATTTGATTCCTGTTTGTTTTTTAATCCCGTGACATAACAAACATAATTTTTATTGAAGTTATTCCTACTCCCACTCTCATTCACAATCCTTTAAATCAATACATAATACAAAACAGGCCATAGTATCTTCTAATCTTGTGCAGGTTATAATAATCCAATTCATAATATCAAATAATAATGTTCTGGGCTAATCAAAGTCTAAAAACAAATTATTCACTAATTAGAAGGAATTAAAATCGATAATTAGAAGAAAGCAACATGTCTTTTGTTAAGTAACCCCTTTCTTTTTATAATATATAATTAGCCACATGACAAATGAATGTTTAAACAGCTACTCTTTCCTTACACTTACAACCGATGACTATGAAAATGTAATTATGGCTTGCAAGCTTACTAGCATTTTTGAAATCCTTGAACAAATTTACTCCTTCCATCCTTATATATAAGATGTTAGGTAGAATTTTTTTTTTGGTCCCTAAATATAATGCTTGTTAGAATATTTTTTAAAATAAATGGACAATTTTGCTCTTATGTTGTCTTGAAAATGAAAAAAGCTATGTACTGTATTAATTTACTTTTGAAAATTAGTCAAGGGCAAAATTAAAAAAATATATTATGCTTTTAAATAAATAACCAACTTTTATTAATTTACATGAATCAATTAAAAACATCTTATAGATAAAAATAGAAGGGGTACTTCTCAAATGCATAACTTCATTCAATACCAACTTATAATAGTAGGTAAATTATAAGTTCACAAGTTCCTCCCCCTTTGAGACACTCACACATTCCATTGACACATTTACGGTTACCCCCATGATGTATCTGCCTTTTTTCTCAACCATTTGTTATAGCTTGATTCCATAGTTTACTGTTTCCTAAATCCAGACCTTCGCAAACAAGCTTTAAGGAAAACAACATGGATACCACAATACAAAGACATTGGCCTTTCAACCATCATTTTGGCCACACAGGAACATACAACATATTTTTCCCCATTCCTTTTACAGTGTCTTTGAGACCAATTTGGCTGCAAAAGGTGTATCATTTTTGGCATTACACGTGCGGGTAGCAAAGATCAATGTTTGTGTGGGAAGCAAGGAACAAGAAGATTTCTGACATTGAATTTTCCTCTGCTCATGAACTCTTCACATGACTAGTGCCTTAAGGCTCCAATTTTTACACAAACTACAATTTTTTATTGCTTATAAATACTTTTTTTATTGAAAATAATCTTATTCAAAATAAGATCGATTGCTAAATATAAACACTTTTTTTAAAAAAAATTTAAATATTGATTCATTATATTATGAGAAACTGACATCTTTTGTTAGTTAAACTCAATCATGTTGGTACAAACTGCAATTTTTTTAATATTATGTTGGCAATTACTTTCTCTCCGTCTAAGAAAAGAACGAGAACACCTAAGTATTTCATAGGGAAATAACCCACGTTAAAGCCCATTAAAATCCATATTTCCTGCTTAGTTAATATTTTCCTTCATCCCATCCACACATATTTCGGATTATTTATTATAATTTGCAATCAAATTGATAGCCTTTGAGAACTCAGTGAAGGCTTCTATTAATTCTTTACCTAAATCAAGACTTAACATTGTAAACCATCAATAAATCATTAGCCAAGCATGAATAGATGAATTTTGAAGTATATTGATATAAAATTTAAATTTGCACCAACTCGGGTTGTCATGTGTAGTGGGTTCAAATTAAAACTCTTATACATGTAACAATTTAATTACAAAGGATCTACTCATCAGTGTTCCCCTCAACATTTTTTAGGAGAAAATCTCTTGTATAAATTTGCTTATTTAAATTGAACCGAGTGTATTGTGATCGATTTCATATAGTTTCATTTTATTTTATGTTTTTAAGAGTGAAACTAGAGCTTTATTGTTTTCGAGGTCCCCAACGGACATGACTATTTTTTGGCCGGACAAAAAAAAAACAAAGAAACTTGTGCGTTGAATGAATTCAACAAAGCAATAAGTGCTACAATCTCGAACATTATGTTTCTTTTTGAAAAAAAATAAAATTTATATTTCTTATTTTTTTGATAAATCTCTCTTTCTTTTTGGCCAATTGATTCATTTCTTATTGTATATTAAATGAAAATGAATATCATAATAAATACTAAAAATTTGACCAAAGATTCAAGAAGGAAATAATTTGCCTAACTCTGATTTTCTTTTTTGCCAACACCTAACCTTGATCATTTTGTTAAACATTTGCTATTTTAATTCGCAAAAGAAAAAAATCCTAGTTTTCATTATCCTTCAATTCAGTCACCTCAAAAAATGTTTAACAAGCAATTTAAACAATTTCATCACAGTAAACGGAGGCCACAAAGAAAGAAAGTAGAGGAAAAGATAGCAAACAAAGATCGCCAAACTAACAAATTGAATCAAATAATTTCAAAGGGGCAACACATAAGATTGAGCATCATTACACAAAATTCAATTCATTATTTCACTCGTTCTCAACAAATTTACATCAACACCCACATATTCATTCAATGTTCTCAAGGGTATAAAAAAGCTCACTTTCCGGGGACAAAGTTTGTGGCATAAGCCCAAGCATTGTTGTTGACTGGGTCGGCAAGGTGGTCGGCAAGGTTTTCCAATGGGCCCTTTCCGGTCACGATGGCCTGAACAAAGAATCCAAACATTGAGAACATGGCCAACCTTCCATTCTTGATCTCCTTCACCTTCAACTCAGCGAAAGCCTCTGGATCATCAGCAAGTCCCAATGGGTCAAAGCTTCCACCTGGATAGAGTGGGTCTGTAACCTCACCGAGAGGTCCACCGGCAATACGGTAACCCTCAACGGCACCCATCAAGATCACTTGGCAGGCCCAGATGGCAAGGATGCTCTGTGCGTGGATCAAGCTTGGGTTGCCTAAGTAGTCAAGCCCGCCCTCGCTGAAGATCTGGGATCCGGCCTTGAACCACACGGCCTCGCCGAATTTGACACCATTGCGGGCCAAGAGCTCAGGGAAGACACATCCCAAAGCTCCGAGCATGGCCCACCTGGCATGGATAACTTCAAGCTCACGGTTCCTGGCGAAGGTCTCCGGGTCAGCTGAGAGCCCAGCGGTGTCCCAACCATAGTCACCAGGGAACTCACCGGTCAAGTAGGATGGGGGCTCACCAGAGAATGGACCCAAGTACTTGACACGGTCCGGGCCGTACCACGGGCTTCCAGAGGAGACAGGCTTGGTGACAGTCTTCCTCATGGAGATGCGGCCAGTCTCAGTGGCGGAGGGAGCAAGTGGTACGGCCTTACCGGCAAATGATGGGGAAGACAGAGCCATGGTGGAGGCAGCCATGATTAGGAACTTGAAAGAACCGTTAAGGTGGGCTTTTACGTGATGATGATTGAGACGGTGGAGGGTTTGAAAGAGATAGGTGGGCTTTTATATTGAATGAAGAGATTGGCTTCTTATCTCCTTGATATCAAAATCTTCACTCTCATTGGATGTTCAAGATTTCGGTGTTGGATCTCTCGGCCTATCTGGCACTCTCTCATCCGCCAGAGGCTAAGAGTAGTAGCCAATGTGACTAATCCACGTGTATGTTTGGATTGTGGCCTCATTCTCCTCTTGTATTCTGGATCCACGGCCATAGAAAGGATGATAATCCAGTTTCACACTATTATCTCCATACTTTTCAGAATTATAAATAAATGAATTTAATTTTGATTTGTCTTTTAAAATTTGGCCGAGAAAAAATATATAAAGAAGATGGTCTAGAAAGTCATTTATGAGAGAGCAGGATTAGACAAATTTTAGTATATTGAATATTAAAAAACTGAAAACAACATGTGAAAGAATCAAACTGGTCTTAATTGATGGTTATAGAAATGAAATGAGAGATATTTTCATGAATTGAAATCCAAATATTGTGGTTGTAATAACTTAAGAATATGATTGCAACCAAAAGTTGCAAAATTATTGGATTCGTGAAAGAGGCTTATATATATTTCATCTATTCCCCTAATTCTATAATAACAAGCAAAAAAAATCTCAAGATATAAGAATTAAAGGTCATGTTAATTCAAATTTCAAAATACTTTTAAAACTCAATAGTACAGAAACGAACCAATCAAGATATCGGTTGACATGTTTTACTAATTGAATTGTGAAAAAAATGTGTTTGAACTAGTGATCATTGAACAGCTCACATGCGCGCGCGCGAACATGTCAATATGATAATGAAATATATTATTAAAGAGAATTCATCATGAAAAAGTATTAACCTTTTTTATCACAAAAAATTATTAACATTTTAATTTTTTTTAGAAAAAGTATTAACATTTTATAGTAACAGAGTTCTTGTTCATTAAAGGTTGGGTAGTTTTACCTTATAAATTAATTTATTCGAATAATGAAAACGGTGGATTTAGCATGATTTTAAATTTATGTATAGTTGGCGGGAAAAAAAAACAATGATTTATAATTGTGGCGGTTGGTTTCATGTAATACATTATACAAGGTTTTCTAGTGTTCTGAATATTATCTGAATGTTTATATTGTCCAAAATATGTTTGGATTTTTAAGAGCTGAATTATATATTGGGGGAATTGCTAAAACAATACCTGACCACAAATTTAATTATAGCAAAGAACCTGAAAATTTTTCTAAGAGGAGGCCACTCGCTCACAATATGTTTAAAAGTAAAAAGATTAAATTACCTTTCACAAAATCTGCCTCCCTCCCCCAAAAGTTCTCTCCTCCTGTGAGAGCTTCTCCCGCCCCTAGTAAGTGTTTTCCTTGATAGTGTCTTCCCAACAGGCAAGAGAGAGTGTTACTTTGGTGAGTGAGTAAGTATTTCGATGAGTAGTGTCTTGTGTCCGCAATTTGAAACAAATGGAGAAATTAAGGTTCATCAACTCTTAAATGTAAGATTTCAAGTTTAGTGATTTTGCTGATTATTGTTAATTTAAGCTTTCAAGTTTATTTTATTATTGAAAATTAGTCCTGAAAGCCAGGTTTTCTATGAACACGATTTGGATCTAGCTCAGTGCGAGAAAGTGTAGGCGGTAATGGAGCTTTTTTGTTTCCCCCCTTGTGCGCGTGTGTGTGTGTGTTTTTTTTTTTTTTTGTCATTTCTTCTTCTTTTTATTTTTGCAAGATTTTTATTTTGATTTCCACAAGAATTTCCAGTTTGGGGCCTTTCAGAAAGCCGAGTACCCGGGCTCAATTCTCACGGGTCAGGTTAGCTTCCTTGTGATTTTTCTTTTCAAACCTCCATTTCCTTGCTCTCTATTTTTTTCCCTAACTTTAGAAAGAAAAAAATTACTCAATGACGAGCACAAGCTTAGAAGAAAATCTCATTTCAAAAGATAGTTGTTGGTGGAAAGAGTCTCTCACACTTATAAACCCCATACCATTTGTGAGACTTCTCAATGTGAGACTCGTAACAATGTCACCCCATCAAGAGCCGATGTCCCCAGCGGCTTCACTCCATAACACTTAGTCTCTTGCTGGTCAGAACCCTTCATAGGTAATCTTTTTCATGACACCTGTCTCTCAATAAAAGTACCAATGTGACAGCACAAACCTAAAGAAAAGCCCATCTCAAAAGACTAACCTATTAAGAGGGAGAGCCCTTTAAACTTACAAGTCACATACTACTTGTGAAACTTCCTGATATAGGACTCATGACAATGTCACCCTGGCAAGAGTTGACGTCCCGACGACTTTACTTCACAACAATTCACTCAATTTTTTGCTGGTCAAACCCTCTATGGGTAGTTCTTGCCCTTTTGAGCTCTTCTTTCACGTAATTAATTTCACTTATTATCGTCAATATGTCATTAATAACGGTGTTGATCCAACGTGTGCATTAGAATAGATTGCGCCTTGAGGCTGCATTAATTTGCTTCAGACTGCTGAATAAATTGTTGATGACTTTGTTATTGAATGGCTAAGACATTTCATACTCAATTCATTTGGATTCACTTGGAATTATCAAGGCTGACTGAGAAAGTTTAGCTGCAGGTTGTTAAATTGGACCCATTAGATTTATGTAGGTGAAAAGTACACTTCTATTTTATAAGAATTACTGGGCAATTACTCTTGTTCAAAATAAATTTTGAGACTCATGATTTTCGTGGGAGTGAATTTATCAGAGGTGTCATATTTACAGTGATAAATATGAACTGAGAACAGAAATTGAATAATCCTAATTATATGACGCTGCATTGTGGTTGTTCTTTGTATTATTCGCCTCTATTTCAGACTGGATACTACCGCTCTGTTTGTGAGTGTATGGTAAAGGATTTTGCAAATAGAATTTTTTGACGTATCTGTACATGAAGTTCTAATTAAAGTGCCATGTAACAGTGCTCCCCCCTCTGGAACTTGATGATAATTGCAAATGGAAAAATTCTAATTAAAGTTCATTAGAACAGTACCGTTTTTGTTTTGTCCTAAACCTTAATTCTGACAATTTGATTAAGCTATCCAACATTGAAATTCAGAGCCCATAGATGCTTCATGAGTTTTTGCTAGTTCATTGCAACACCAAAGTCCTCTAGTCAACTAAGATACATCAGGTTTTTGTTTGCTATTGTGTGAATTGGAGAAGAAGTTGATCATCCTAGATTGATTACTTAGTAATTTTTGTTCATGAAACACGCTTTAGAGGGTTTGAAATTCAACACAATATTTGCAACTGAAACCATAGTCTTCTTGTGTTAAGGCAAATGCAATATTTTGCCACTAAATTTGCTACATACTAAAAGTGCTTTCTCATATCTGACATTGATTTTTGCAAATATTTGGCATCAGCAAAATGGCATTTGGTATGGATTCTAGGTTTTCCAAAATGCTGGAGAAGGAAGAGGTTAGGATGAATAAATTAGGAGTATCATTAGGATGTGTCATTTGAAAATGTTCTTGTCAATAAAATTGTTTTCATTTGTAAAGCATGCATAATTATGTGTATGCGTATCTTAGAATATAAAAATCTATTTTTTGTAACTTTTATCATACAAATTACATGATATGATAAATAAATATTCGAATTCAATTTATTGTCTCAAATGTTACTTTGCTCATAAACTTTACATATGACAATAGTAACCATGGCTGTTTTCTTAAAAATTTGAAAATTTTCAAAATTTTTACTTACATTTTCAGAATATCAATTAGTGTTTTCATGAAAAAATAATTTTTTTTAAAATATCCATTTATATTTTCATGAAAAACAATGATATATTCAAATATTTAGTTCATATATCCTGAAATTTTTAATTTTCAAATTTTGTATTAATAAAGGATTTTTGAATATTCATTATGAATATTCGAATACAAGGTGCATTATGTGTAAAACTTTGATATTAGGATTTCTTTTCCAAAATATGTAAAGAACATATTCGAATATAAAATATATTTCATGTAAAATTTTGGCCACTAAGATTGTTTTTTAGAATATACATATGTAATATTTGAATATGTGAAAGAAAATTACATGTCATTAAAAATCAGTTGCATATGATTAAAGAAAGCTTGCATATGCTTTCAAAGTGATCTATTAGCGAAATTAGTAGGGAATATTCACATATGCATAAGTGATATTTGAATATATAAAAAAAATTATATTTTATTAAAGATCAGTTACATACTGTTAAAGAGACGTTACATATGTTTTCAAAGGTATCAATGAAAAAAAAAATTAATAAGAAATATTTGAATATGTATAAGTGATATTCGAATATATAGTAGAAAATTGCATTTATTAAAAATCAATTGCATATCATAAAAGAGAGGTTGCATATGCTTTCAAAAGTGTCCATGAAAAAAATTAGTAAGGGATATTTGAATATGCATAAATGATATTCACATATATTAAAAAAATTATATTTTGTTGAAAATCAGTATCATATCATTAAAGATAGGTTGCATATGTTTTCAAAAGTGTCCATGAAAAAAATTAGTAAGGGATATTTGAATATGCATAAATGATATTCACATATATTAAAAAAATTATATTTTGTTGAAAATTAGTATCATATCATTAAAGATAGGTTGCATATGCTTTCAAAGGTATTCATAAGGAATATTCAAATATGCAAAAGTGATATGCGAACATATGAAAGAAAATTACATATTTTTGAAGATCGATTGCATGTCGTGGAAGAAAGGTTGCAGATGCTTTTAAATGTATGCATAAGGAAAATTAGAAAGGGATATTCAGATATGCATAAGTGATATTTGAATATATGAAAGAAAATTATATTTTGTTAAAAATTAGTCAGATATCATGAAAAAAAGATTGGATATATTTTGTTGAAGATGATTTACATATATCATAAAAAGAAACATTGCATATGACATATTGACATTAAAGGAGCTCATGCTTTAGGGCTTAATAAATTGACATCGAAGGACATTATTTCACATATTGACACCAAAGAATATTGTGTTATAAATTGATATTTAATTATTAATAACAAAGGACTTGTGATGTATTAACAGTCAAGAACCTTACATGACATATTTACAATGAAAAATTTTGCTCAATTTTTGTTTTCTTAATCATTTAGAACATTTATATCATTTAACTTTTATTAATTATTGACAGCGAATGATTTTTTCTCCAAAACAGTTCCAAGTTCTTCTTTACAGTTAAATTTCTGGTGGAGTTTTGCTTTTTTGGCAATTTCCCCTTATTTATTTTATAAGATGCCTTAGGAGTAACTTCTCATCAATTTATATTTGTCAACGTCACTTTGTGTGATCCAATCTGAACAGGGCGTTATCATCCACACTCCCGCTCTGCCCCTTTGTATATTTGCACCAAGACACGTGTTTTTTGAAATTTCTAGGCTGTGACACTATATTCACAATATTTTTACATTATGTTCAACTTTGTTTTTCGTAATTAGTACGTTCAAATTTTTAAAATTAAATATAATTTATTAAATAATATATTTCATTAATCTCTATTTTGTGGTGAAAAATGTAAATGTAACATGTAATAAATTTCAAAAATATTATGTTAGTCAAAGTCTCAAATATATGCAATATTTGTTATAAGAAATATCACTATAGTATATATTTTAATTTTAAATAAAATGAGTGTAAATTCTCCAAATAAAAAAAAAAGAAAGATTAATTTTAGTAAACTAATAGTTTGCTCATTTTAAATAAATTGATGAGTAAACCAGCTGTATTAATTTTAGTAATTTTATAAATGTTGCCAGCACATCTGTTTAACCTTAGCATTAAGAATTTCAATTTTTTTTGTCCGACCTAAAAGTTTCATATTTGATTCTTTTACTAGAAAGAACTACGTTCTGAAGCATTTTACATTGACTCATTTTTAACGACACTCGTGCTAGTATATCAAAGACAACATCTTGGACCAACTAAATTTGGCGTAAGTGACTGAGTTTTGAATCTCAATCCTCATATAAATATAGCAACTTAGTTTAGAGATATCCATCATTTGCCTTCCATAGCTTGGAGGAAATAATTTTTTTATTCCCACAAAAAAAGATGATCATCTCATAAAAAAATGATCATGATCTATACATAGTTGTAATTATAATTTTGAAAAAAAAATCAACTATAGATTGAATGTTATAGAAATATGATTTCATTTTATGATAATTGGGAACTTAATAATTAACTTTGACAGATTTTACCTAATTAGACATATTTCTCCATAAATTATGCAGAATTAAAAAAAAATCATATCATTCATGACTTGTTAATGAGCAAACAACGTTAATGAGCAATTTCAATTTTAGTGATATAAGGCGAAGAAAATTACACGTGCAAATTGAGCAGAATAAAATCGAGCAACTTTTTTATAGATCGAACATCATTACACAAAATTCCAAGTCGTTGATTTCACTGGTTCTCAACAAATTTACATCACCACCAATTGATCCAAAGTTAAGCGGGGGGAAAAAAACACCCTCTCTCTCTCTAGAACTTTCACTTTCCGGGGACGAAGTTTGTAGCATAGGCCCAGGCATTGTTGTTGACTGGGTCGGCAAGGTGGTCGGCAAGGTTCTCCAATGGACCTTTTCCGGTCACGATGGCCTGAACAAAGAATCCAAACATTGAGAACATGGCCAACCTTCCATTCTTGATCTCCTTCACCTTCAACTCAGCGAAAGCCTCTGGATCATCAGCAAGTCCCAATGGGTCAAAACTTCCACCTGGGTAGAGTGGGTCTGTAACCTCACCGAGAGGTCCACCGGCAATACGGAAACCCTCAACGGCACCCATCAAGATCACTTGGCAAGCCCAGATGGCAAGGATGCTCTGTGCGTGGATCAAGCTTGGGTTGCCTAAGTAGTCAAGCCCGCCCTCGCTGAAGATCTGGGATCCAGCCTTGAACCACACGGCCTCGCCGAATTTGACACCATTGCGGGCCAAGAGCTCAGGGAAGACACATCCCAAAGCTCCGAGCATGGCCCACCTGGCATGGATAACTTCAAGCTCACGGTTCCTGGCGAAGGTCTCCGGGTCAGCTGAGAGCCCAGCGGTGTCCCAACCATAGTCACCAGGGAACTCACCGGTCAAGTAGGATGGGGGCTCACCAGAGAATGGACCCAAGTACTTGACACGGTCCGGGCCGTACCACGGGCTTCCAGAGGAGACAGGCTTGGTGACAGTCTTCCTCATGGAGATGCGGCCAGTCTCAGTGGCGGAGGGAGCAAGTGGTACGGCCTTACCGGCAAAGGATGGGGAAGACAGAGCCATGGTGGAGGCAGCCATGATTAGGAACTTGAAAGAACCGTTAAGGTGGGCTTTTACGGGATGATGATTGAGACGGTGGAGGGATTGAAGAAGTTGGATGATATTTTATAGTGGATGAAGTGGATGGCTTCCTTATCTTCGGGTTATCAAAATCATCACTCTTATTGGTAGCCACAAGATTTCGAGATTTTATTTCTCAACCTATCTGGCACACTCTCATCCACCAAACGGTAACAGTGGTAACCAATGTGAACAAGTCACGTGTAGGCTTAGAATCCGATCACATGTCCTGCTTACTCACCACTGTATTTGAAAATCCGGATGCCAAGTCAAAGAAATGGTAATTCGGTTTCGAACTGTATTATTATTTGATAAATTATAATGTTAGTATCTGAAATGTGGTGGTTGTAATAACATGAAAGTTGCTCGATATTTTTTTCTCTGAGTGAGCCACGGTGCAGTGCAACTAGGCAATGTATGATCGAGCTTATTCTGTTATTGTTTTTAAAGGGTCCACGTTTGTTCTCTGAGCACCTTGAATATTTGAAAGTGAAGCTTTTGAAATCAGCTGTATTATCAGCAACATCTTATTAACAAGTTATGAATATTACAGTTCATTTTTAAAATTTTATGCAAATCCCATCACTTCCTTATAGTTAGTTTGTATTTGGGGAGCACACTATTTCAAGTATTTTAACTTATTAATTCGCTTCCAAGTTAACAAAATGGTAGGGTTTTCTTTTGGCCTGAAATTAAAATGATAGATTTAATTTGATTGTTTTAAATATGAGTGACTTTAGAGTTGAGATAATTTAATTCATTTAATCCACTAGTTACACTTATTCTTTTGATAACTTTTAAAACACCAAATACTTTTTTGATACATTTTGATCAATATATATATATATATATATAAGAGATATACACTCATGACTTGTGAATAATTGATCGTGTTTATATTATGATCATTTAAAAAGATATCAATCTATATATCCAGATTTTATATGCATATAAGATTTATTATAAACTGCAGTATTGACAACTTGTACTACTTATTTCCTTAAAATCTACCTAATTGTATTATAAATCGGAGGTTTTTCTTCTGATAGATAAAAAATTGAGAGATATGATTTACTTAAAAGAAAATTAAACTGAATTTGAAGAAGAAATTATAATTAAGAATAAAAATGTAAATAATGTCTGTGTGATAAGAGTGGATGATTAAAAGTGGGAAAAGCGTGGAGGTTTTTCCCCCAGGCCAAATATTACAAGCTTTCTGACTTTTTTTAATCACAAATTTAAATATAAGATTTTAGAAAGAATTACATCTAAATCTTACTCAATATAATTAATTACTATTAGGTCCTGGACAATTAAACTTGGGAGAATGATTGCACAATGTGTTGACAATTAGTTACTTTCAAATTTATCAACAACTAAATTTAAAAGAATGATAATTAAAAATAATTAATTGTGTCGAACGAAGTTTAGATATACATTTTCTATATATTCGCCCTTGCGATAATTACTACCCGTGGTCCAATTTGAATAGAGCCTTCTCATCCACAAATACAGTTTGTATATTTAGCCATAAGACAAAAGCCTTTTATTTATTATTTCTAGGCTGTTAAAGTTGTTATTTTTACTGTACAGCGGTTCACTTCTCTGTTTTTGCAGATATAGTGCTATCCAGACGAAAAAATGGCAACATTTTATTGGATGGAGCAAGCACTTTTAATATTGCTCAAGACATTTGATCCGAGAAAACAATCCAGGTATGATAAGTGGACCGAAAAAATCCAGCTTTTCAAGATGGAACGAGAGAAATTTGGATATTGGATCCCATAAAGAAAAAAGATTTTCTGTTTCAACTTTCAAGCCATATATAGAGCCCCTCTAGGTCCAACGTTGCATCAACAACTGCCTGTTCAAACTCAATTAAAAGTTCTTTTCTTGAATTATGGTGTCATTTTGGAAGTATCACTACAATCTAACAATGGCACTCTTCATCATTAGCTGGGCAGGCAGTGAAACTAGCCGCCTCCACCCCTGAGCTTGGGGTTGGACGGATCACCATGAGGAAAACAGTGACCAAGCCTGTTTCCTCTTGTGTCAAGTACGCGAGCCCCCATCCTACTCTTTTGTTTTTTTTTTTTTGGTAGAAAAGAAGGTTATACCCTATATATTATAAAGCAAATTACAAAGAAGGGGATTGAGATCCCAAACTATCCAAAGAAACTAAACTCCTTAAAAACGTAGGAGCAACCTCAAACGAAGAAGAACAAATAATTCCTTCCTTAGTAAGTCTGCCACTTGGCTTTGTTCCCGCTTAACAAAATGAACCTTGACTTTCCAACTCCATTGAAGCATATTGGTTACCTCAGCAAGGACATTGCTACCCTTGAACTGTCCGTAGATGTATGAATTTGGTCAACCAATTCCTTGCGATCGGATTCTGGTAGCACTTTCTTGAAACCAAAATCCCAAAGAAGCCTAAGACTTCTTAGCACAGCCCATTCTTCTGCTTCGTAGGCGCTGCACGCTCCTAGAACATGACAGAAGCCTGCTATCTAGTAGCCCTCATGGTCCCATAAGACATCACCACACCTAGCTTTATGGTCCACTAGAGACATAGCCCCATCTACATTCATCTTTACCCACCCATAAGGAGGCGGTAACCACTTGAGATTGAGAGGCTGAGAATTCGAACAGCAAGCAATATCCAGATTATTATTTTCAACAAAAAATTTCCAGGTAGAGACAATGACAATAAGTGGATCGTCGGGTTTGTGAGAGTTGGAATAAAAAACACTATCATTCCTCCATTTCCACACCAACCGCTCCCCATATCAAATTCCAATCCAGACTAAGATCTATCTCAAGTTCTTACATTAAATTGAACTCAATCCAATCTTTGAGGGACATCAAAAAAAATAAGGAAACATACCTTGCACGCACCAATTTCCTCCAAACACTCTGAGCATACACACAGTCCCGAACTATGTGAAGACCATCCTCTGTCTCATTCTGGCACCAGTTGCCCCCATCCTACTTGATTGTTGAGTTCTCTGGTGCCTACCATTGGGACACTGCTGGGCTCTCTGCTAACCCAAAGACCTTTGCTAGGAACTGTGAGCTTGAAGTCATCCATGTGAGGCGGGCCATGCTTGGAGCTTTGGGTTGTGTCTGCCCTGCACTCTTTGTATGGTTAAAGGCCGGATCCCAGGTCTTTAGAGAGTGTGGGCTTGACTACTTGGGCTTGGCATCCTTGCAATTTGGGCTTGCCAAGTGATCTTGATGGTTGCCGTGGAGGGCTACCATATTGCTGGTGGGCCTCTTGGAGAGGTGACCGACCCACTCTACCCAGGTGGAACCTTTGATCCATTGGGCTTGGCTGATGACCCAGAAGCTTTTGCTGAGTTTAAGGTGAAGGAGATTAAGAATGGCAGATTGGCCATGTTCTCAATGTTTGGATTCTTTGTTCAGGCCATTGTGACTGGATAGAGCCCACTGGAAAACCTTGCTGATCACCTTGCCGACCCAGTGAACAACAATGCTTTGGCCTTTGCCACAAACTTTGTCCCCGGAAACAGAAAGTGAACTTGAAATGGGCTAAATGGTCATTGTATTTAAAAAACAAAAAAAAAAAAGAAAATGAACCAGAGTTAACGATAATGGTTAATGATTTGGAGAGGGGTAACTAGTAGGACGTGTATCAAAATCTGTTTCTACGGAAAACATGAATTATATGTATGAATTTACCTTCTATTTCCTCTGGTTGAATGATACCTTCCAACATTTGTAATTTTTACCTCACTGTCTTGCCTTGCCAAGTGCATGATCAGACGATTAAATTTGAAACATTTATCAGCAAGCCTTTCAAATCACATACATGTTACAAGATTTACCCATCTATTTTGATTCTTTTGAATCTCAAAGCTTGAACAGTATAATTTTCAAATGACCAATGTGCATCCATGCCAAATGCATCATAATCTCTAATAGCATCCTTTGAATTGTACAATGACAAATGCAGATCAGTCCTAAAGACATCTCAGAGACTTGTGTCGATTGGATAATTCAAATTTGATGAAAACAAACAGCTTTGGACCTTATTGAAATAAGCACAAGATGAGAACTCAATGAACTGGCAAAATATCAGGAGTATTTCCTGTAAGTTATTGGGAATATTGATGATTTAAAAAACTCCACCATCTACATGACAAAGTAAATTTCAATCTTCTTGATTATTCTTTTAAGCCCTACTCTCAAATTCGTCACTTCTTACCCTCTGAAATGTCAAAGACCAAGAACTACCACAAACTACTTACTGCAGAGAATCCAAAAAAATGGAGAATAACATGCTGCAAGTTTTCTTTGTCTCCCCAAACGAGCTCAAGCTACCATCCTTAGTTTTAGTGTTAATAGAGGTCCCATCTTATGCTGGTTCATACAGGCCCAAAACGTGCCCATCAATACACCTCATAGCGGCAACCTACTTGCAAGCAAATCATATCAGACAACCATGGTTCTAAGCCTATGAAAATATAAAGCATTATATCTAATACGAATCATTACCTTTCCATGGATCTCATGTTTTATAGGACCATCTAGCTCAGCTCCTAATGACATTAATTTAGTCACTGTGCTGTTGATGTCAGTAACTGTAAATGATAGCAGCGAGGAGTATCCCTCCTGCAAACCATGGTTACTGTGAAACTAAATTAGTGCGTTTAGAACCAAATAACACGGATAACCCCACAGAAGTAAAAGGTAGGACTATCTACCCAAAGTTTTAACCCAAGATAAATAAATGACATCGCTTGATGCTCAGTCAATTGCCAAAAAAAAATTGATGCCTAATTCAAGTTGCGCATAGAATTAATACAGTAGCTTCCATTTGAAACAAATAATCCTAAAAATACGGATGTTTTTCCACATCTTAAGCCATGTCACAGGGGAAGAAAAACAATTCATCTCCCCATGCATGTTTTCTACATTCAGAGCTAATGAACAAATAGAAAATTCATCCAGACAACCAAAGTCAGAGTTGACAGCATTTGAATGCATATCTAATCAATCCTCCTGCCGTGGAAGAATAGCTCAATTCCACTACCATACCACCCCTATTAAGAAGCATATTTATGGGGCAATAATAAAGAAAGAAATGACCAACCAGACCATGATCATCTGCTACCATCTTAGAGAAAATGTTCAGTGAGAATTTTTTTTTTTTTTTTTGATATCCTTCTTATAATCATTATAAACAAGGCTCTCTCTCCTCAGCTCAGGAAATGCAACTAAAATGAAGCATGAAACCTAAATTAGTGATGACACCCAGAATTCCTCTGACGGGGAAAGCTCTGCTATCTTATCAACTCGACTTTTCCAAGTTTTCGCACAACACCCTTTTTGCATTTCAAAATGAGAAATGCACAAAGATCAAACATCAAATGAACTGCCATGATGCCATCAGCAAACTTTCTAGGAAGAAGCGGGCCAAAAGCGTTAAAATGTGGGTATGTGAATTTTCATTGATCAATGAAATGTTTCATGTCAATTCTTGAGATATAAGGTTGGCAAGATTAAATTCTTTTTTAGTTAGGGAAGAAATATCTGGTAAACGCAATCCGGGCACCCTTCTATTTAGTAGAGAATAAAACCAGCAACAAGCTTTCTCCAAATTGATGGCATCCCTTAGCTGCTCATCTTCGTTCTTTTGGCATTGTAATCTCATATAAGTAACAATTTATGAATCGACATTTTATCAAACCGGTAGAGCGCATCAGATAAAAGAGACAGGCGATTAGAGAAACATACCTGGGAGAATACATTAGGGCAAGCTTGAGGGGACCGGATCGAAGTTCAGCCCAACGAAGAGTGCAGACGTCGACGGTGAAGTCCAAGCCTTCCGCGTAGAATCGAGCAGCTTTGGGGACGTCCTTGTGAAGTTGTAAAATCCACCTAAACGACGCCGCCATAAAGGAGTCTGCGCACGCCTTCGATTTCACCTGCCGGAGGATGACGGTCAACAGCGGCTACTCACTGGCGAACCACTCGCACGCTCCGAACTAATCCCTCAGACTTTCACTTGTTTTTAGGGGGACAAAATCATTCCTTCAATAGTAACTTCAGTAACAACATCTTAGTTTTATATATTACTAGCATGGATGAACATGCAAAAAAATTCAATAGAGTATGTTATAAGCACACGATCTTCTGCTTGAAATTGAAATTTCACATTTGAGTAGTTTTATTACTCTTCTTCAATTTGATTAGAAGAACATTAACACAGTTGTCTTTTAAAAATATTTCTATGAGGCTGCACACATAATAAATAAGGATTTAGCTTATGCCTAGTGTTAAGAAGAGGAAAAATTTAAGCTATATGGTAAATCTTCTTAGTCATCGAAATTAGATAATAAAAAATAATAAAAATGAGATAGAATATGGGTACTGGCTATACTACCGTATTTCAAGTAAGTTGAATAGAAGATAAAAATAATGTTTTTATTTCTTGGGCCTTAAATCTTTGAGAAAGAGTGGTAAAAGGAGGGTGAATATATGCAAAATTGGAAAAATTTATAAAATTAATTAATTAAGATAAGATAGTATTAGATAAAAAGAGTAATGATTTTCTCCCATTAAGAAGGACAGTTCCAAATCAATGCACAATTATGGATCCATTAACAATAGTGAATGGAATAAAAATTATATAAAAAATTATATAGTGAATGGAATAAAAATTATATAAAAAAAGGTTTTCAAACAAATTACATACACGCTTGTCTAAAAAATCAAATACAAGTGAAAAACAAAAGGAAAGAAAAAGATGTGCTTAGCAATTTTGTTACAAACATATTACAACCAAAGTTAAAAAATCAAACAATTTTCACAAAAAAAAAAATAGAGAGAAGATTGAGTTAGTTTTGAAAGAAATGAATGAAACTGAGAGTAAAATGAAGACTGAGCCTGAGAGGGAGATGAATTGAGAATGAGATTGATGGAAAATTTCACCAAGAGAGATGAGGCATCGCTTGTGGCTTATGGCTTCGAACCTTAACTTTGGTGGCAGTTGATAGCATATTCATGATATTGGATGAGGATGAAATTTAAAAAGTTTATATGGGCTTGCAAATGTAATGGGGAATCGGTGCTTAGAGTTAGAAGGAGAACTAAATGTTATGATATCAGATTGTGAGAGAAGTAATGATAGGATGAAAGTTGTGGAGATAAAAAATTATTTTATGATTAATAATTAAATTGTGGATTCACATAGATAGTTAATACATATATTTTAGGAAAGTTGTCAGTGTTTAATTTTAAAAATTGTAAATTAATTTAAAATCTCATAACTTTTAAATTAATTCTTATATGCTTGTGATATTTTTTTAAAAAAATATTTACATTAAAAAGATAATTAGTCCTAAGTTGGTAGAGAAATTCTCAAAAGAAGATCAAAATAGTTGAAGGATTGAAGGCATTTTATTAGTTTTTAAGTTGAGAGAAGTTATGTTTTATTAAATTTTAAATTGAGAGAAGTTATTGTATGATAATAGATGAGATTATGAGAGAGAGAAAATTTAAGAATAAATTAAAAAAAGATTAAGATAATAATAGAAAAAATAAAGGATAAGAGAAAGTTATCTTGACATCTTTAAATATCATATTTATTATTTTTATAAAACATTTTAAAAACCAATATAGCAATGGATAGGATCATGAAAGAGAAAGTTTAGGAATAAATTAAAAAAATAGTTAGGATAACAAGAGAGAAAAATAAGGGATCAGAGAAAGTTATCTTGATAGTTAAAGATCATGCTTATTGTTTTTAAAAAATATTTTAAAAATCAATGCTAATGTGGATAAGCCAAAATGGTAGCATTACAAAATCTTCTTATTTGTCAAGCTATGGATGATGCTTGTAGTTCTACTTTTGTGTGTGTGTGTGTGTGTGAGAAATTTTATTATTTGTTACGTTTATTTTAAATTTTTATTAAATATTATAACATTATTAAAAATAATTTATTATTTACATATTACAAATTCTTTTAATAATTTTTTTATTTTTATTAATAATTTTCTATTTGTAATTATTCCAAATTTATTATTTACATATTACAAATTTATCAACTAAACTATACGTATTTATTATTAAAATAACTTAAATTTATAAGTTTTTTTTTAAATACAAAGAGGCAAGTCAAGGCTTGAAAACATTACAAAAGCTTAGCCAAAACCAAGCACATCAAAAGAGATAGTCTCCATACAAAACTCTGGATATGAGCACAGTAGTTGAAACTCCCTACTCGATAAATGGGCATGCCTTGCAATACTATTTGCGCATTTGATTGACTCCCTATAAGTGTGACTAACGAAAATGCTCCATTCTTGATAGACAAGGTCTCGGATCTCTTTAATTAAAGTTGTGAGAGGATGACATAGTCCATACTTCTTAAAAATAAGGCTTACAACTTCTAGAGAATCAAAAAAGACCTGTACACATTGGATACCTTCCTGATGGCATACCTTAAGTCCCATTCTAAGTGCTATAAGTTTAGCTTCCAAAACTGATGTCAAGCCAATCCTATATTGAAAACGTAGTACCCACTTGCTTTTAGTGTTGCAACAAAACCCTCCACAAATAGCATAGCCCATTTGGTTGATCGAAGCATTCATGTCCAAGTGCTCAGACCACTACGAAGGGGGGCACCATATATCATTTGCAGTTGTTGAAACCTAAAACACCTCATGCTTGTATGCATCACCATTAGTTTCTTCCACGAGATGGAATAGACACTAGTGATACATTTCTTGAGGTTTGATTTGAGCATCTCCAAATAATTTGCTACACGAAGTTTTTCAAAGTACCCAGCAGACAATCCTAAAGGTCCTTGTCCATGGACCATGGCCATAGTTTGAGTTTGGTTCTACTAGGATAGTTTTTTGAATTCCAAGGAATCTATTCCTGCAAATGAAAAGAGAAAGATGCAAATTTAAAGTTATGACTAATAAATCTCTCCCACATAAATTTAGCAAAATTGCAATCTCAAATTATGTGTATGACACTCTTCTCACCATGACACTTGAAAGGAAAATTAGAATAATTGGTGAGACCCTCCTTAACACTGAGTAAATTAGTTAAAATTCTCCTTTGAACAACCTACTGCAAGAAACATTTGATTTTTGTTTTTTTTTTTAGGAAGGGGCCATTTCCACAGTTTAGTCCACAAAGGCTCTTCCATTCCGTTTGATTGGTCTTGGACAAAGTTATAAGCATTTTTAACACTGAAATGAGAATCAGCAGATTACTTTCAATGAAAGGTGTCCATCTCAACATAAATTTATAAGTTAGAATTGATACTTACCATTGTTTACACAAATTTAACATTAGAAAATAATTTTTAAAAATAAATATCTTCTGAATTTGGATATTTGGAATAATTCTTTCACAAATTTTTGCATATCAAGTAATAATTTTTGTATTTTTATGATAAAAAAATTAGGGGGAAGGGGGAAAAATCTTTCCTTCCAATGAGTATTATTATACCAAGGAACGAACCAAAAATAGGGAGGGAAAACAAAATGCAACCACCGCCTCCGTCTCTGCATTCGAATTTCTTCTCCTCTCTAAGACAGGTGCGTCAATCTTTGAAATTCCAGTATCCCCTTTTTGATTTTTTTTTTCTTTTGCTATTAACCTGAGTCTAATTCCCAATTCATCCATCATCAGGTCGAGAAGAGGCTGAAACTAGAACATCCCTCGCCGTCGCCGCCTTCGGCAAAATCACGAACACAAGAGGACAACAATGCTTCCACAGGGTCACTGAGCTCTCCTATGTTCCTCCACGTCGATCAATCCATCGCCAATTCTTCTAACGACCTCTGCGGTAGCGAACCGCCGCGAGCTTTCCTATCTGTTTCCCAAGATTTCCCATCGCCCGACCAACAACCGCCTCAATCAAGCCCTTCAGATCGCCACAGACCTGAAGCTGAAACTGAAGATGATGAAATTGACGAGATCGAGCAGTTAATACGGCTATTGGGGTTGTCAGAGGAGGAGGAGGAAGAGGAAGGGGAAGGGGAAGAAGGTGGCAGCGATTGTAATTCTTGTCACTGTGAGGGTGGATTTTACTCAAAGATTGTGGGGGTGAAGGGGCCTAAGTGTAGAAAGGAGATGAAGAGGCTAGATGGGTGGATCAAGTTCTTTCGAGAGGAGAAGAAGGAGCCATTGAGATTGGCACATTTGCTTTTGGGGAAACGTGTTCTTCTTTCTCAGGGTGGTGATGATGATCATGGTCTTGGAGGCTTGGAGTTTCCTTCAACTATACAGGAATTTCTTCACAGTGACCCTCCTGACCCCTGATTGAGGCAATCAAGCTACTCTCATGTACTTGATTGAGTTAATGAGCAATTTTCAAACTTGTTCTTTTTTCGTGACAATTTGCCTAATTAAGTCTGAGTAGTGATCGAATTGTTGAAAGTGTTTTCTCTGTAATCCCAAGTTGCCCCGTTCATTCATGCAGCTCGGACAGTTCAATTTACAAATGTCTATAATCTTGAACTATGATTGTTCTGAGCTGGATTTGTTCAAGAGCATGAAAGATCTGCATAAGATTACTGTGATATGTTATCATTTTTGCTGTGAAACTTCACAAAGATTTTTTAAAATGGCCAGCATTTAAAAGCAAGGGACTTGCAGATTACGAACGCAGTGAAAATAAAAAATAAAAAAAATTAAAACCTGACACCTGTGGGATTTGAACCACGCCCTTCGGGACCAGAGCCTAAGCGTGTGTTTGGATAGTGTATTTAATCAATTATTTGGGGCAAAAAATGGAATTTTTGCCTCAAATTATCTAAACACTCATTTTCTGGTTAATTATTTTTGGGCCAAAAATCAATTTTTTTGAAAAGCTGAGAATCAGATCTTGAAAAGTTTACCAAAAAGGATTAGGAAAAATTATAAAAAAACAAAAAAAATTATAAAAAAACACATAATTTAATAAAAATAAAATCAAAACTCTCTTCTCTTCTCTCTTTCTCTCTTTTTTTAATAAAATTTAGATTTTGTATCCTTAAAAAAATTATTAACATAAGTTTTTGTCAATCATCACCTTCAGCACTTATTATAAAACTAATTCAAATAAAATATTAATTAATAGAGAAAATTTAATTTAAAATTTATAATCATGACAAAAATTGTTGCAAAGGTCCATAGAAAAAAAATTTTGTATATTGTTACATTTTCTATGTTGTCAAAATTTTAAAGTAGTGCTTGACATTTTCGTTAGATATAACTCATATTCATAATATCATTAGAGATCAATTTATATATTATCATTTTTATTAGTTATTATAAAATTGATGTTTAGTATTTAAGAATTAAATCTTTCTCTTTCATTAAATTTATTTGAACTAGGATATATTGAGTTATTTATTTATGTAAATTAAATTATTAATATTAATATAATTTAAATTTTTAAAATTAATCATATATGTAATTTAAATAATATATTTTACTTCTTAAATAAAATTTAAAAAATTTAATAATATTAGATAAAAATATTTTAATAATTTAATTTTAAAAAGCAATGTTCTTATAGTAATTTATATAGCTAAAATTTATTTTAATTAAATTATTTAAATATTTTTAATTATATGAAAATTAATTTTAAAAAAATGATATCCAAACAGATTTTGTTATAATAAAATTTATTATTATTAAAATTTATTATTTAATTAATTATTTTTATAATTTATTATATTTAATTAAAATTCAAACGGGCACCAAACTGTCGCATGGAAGGAAAGTTGCACTCCGAAAATAGCCGTCCCACAAGCAGTAAAATCCTTAAAGCAGTTCTTTTAGAAAATATTATTAAAAAAGTCTATGTGATCCATTGTTGAAGAACATTATAGTAGATGCCTATTTAATTTGCTTGGGACCCATTAAAAGAAAGGAAAACCAAAGTTATTAAGTAGATGAAAAATAGTTCAAAATGACATAAAGCTCATGTATTGTTAATCAGAATCCAATTTATATATATATATATATATATCAAGTATCCGACTTTTAGATATAAAATAATTAATTAATAGATATAAAATAATTAATTAATAATCAATGATTATATTTGATATATATGTGTGTGTGTGTAAAATGTACTTTAACCTATACATGGATGCCATGTATGTGTGTATGTATATATTTTGTAAGTATAAGGAATAGGATGGCATGTATATTTTATACATAAATAAATAAGGCACATTGACTAACTCATCCCAAATATATATATATATATATATATATGCCACCTATCTGCCCTAACTCATCCAAAAATGCATGCATACATACATATATCTATACTTGTCACCTATATATGCCATTCGCAATGTACATTGGTTATTATTTGCTCGAAGTTCCCCACATTATTGAGCCTTAACCCATCGGTTCATCTTCTACTTAAATCAGAGTGTACATCACAGATTTAGGTAATCTTAAACAAAACGTAATTTTGATTTTTAATACTATATATAACGTAATGTTTATCAGATATAGCTATTTAAACGTGCTGGTCCCTTAAGATTTACTATATACATGTATGGAAGCTTTGAACTTGCTTCCCAACGTTTTAATTTCCTTCCCACGAGGTTTTCCGCTTGACTTCACACATAAATGACTCAATAAATTCGTTTATAAAAAAAAATGACCCAACAAATTCCAACAATTTTTTTGGTTCTTACGCTGCTATATACATACCTAGACCTTTCAATATCACGCTAAAGTAAAAATCACAATTCAGCCTATTTTTTCAGAGCATTTGGTTTCTCCACTCTATCAAATCACACCATGGCCAGACCAAGCGGCTCATCACTTCATGTTCTCTTCCTTTTACTTCTGATCGTCTCTTTCAACTCCGGTACAAACTCATTCATCTGACATTAGTTTTAATTTTACTTTGTTTTTGGTTAGAACTAATCATGGCTTATTTATCCTCTTTAAATTTCCCGACTTGACCGGTTCTAGATCTCTAACCAGGATGAAAAACTTGTTATTTGCTTTGAACTGGATCAAATCTCAATAAGCTAACACTGGCATTATTAATCCACTATTCTCCTATATTTAAAAATAAGATCAAAATCTTGTGTGGTATCTTCGTGTATATTGACAATTCTCTCAGAAGGCATGTTCGTATTTTGCAAACAGATCCTTTTACTTCTGTATCCCTCTAACATAGACCATGAATCTACGCATGCCATGCAGGAGAAAACTTGAAGGTAGCCAAAGGACAGGTAAGAAAAACTCAAACTTGATTTGAAGACTAGTCACCAAAAACATGAAACAATACACAATCCTTCTATATAAAACTCTTATTTTTTCGTCATGGTGGTGATGAAATAATATTGCATGAATACAAAGCAGAACACGTGGTGCGTGGCGAAGCCTTCAGCGAGGGACACAGAACTGAGATCAAACATAGAGTACGCGTGCAACATTTTGAGAGACTGCAAGATGATAGAACCAGGAGGGTCATGCTATGAACCCAACACAGATATGAATCATGCTTCTGTGGTCATGAATCAGTACTACTTCTCCGAGGGAAGGAACCATTGGAACTGTGACTTCAGTGGCTCTGGTCTTACTGTTATAACTGATCCTAGTAAGTGAGTGTGTGTGAGTGAGATTAATTCAGAGAACAAGAAATTACTATTAATTAATTAATTGAAACCTTTATTGGATAATAGTACTATATTATTAGATGCATGTGAGGTTTTTGGATTCTGAAGTGAATATTGTGTGGTTTGATTGATCTGCAGGTTATGAGAACTGCAAATATGCTTCGTAGTGGGGAAGAACAGTGATGCGTTGGAGTATATATTTATGATTGCTGCTGCTGCTGCTAGTTCATGTTGCTCTCGTGTTAGTTTGTGTTCTAGTTCTTCCTTTTTCGATGACTGTTGTCGGGTTTACTTTTCTCTGTTAATCGTAACTACGAATATAAATTGTATGGTCATTGGTCAGCAACACTTCACTTGTTTCCAAAAGAAGCCAAAAATAAAATGACAAATACATGAATTGGGGCATTCCGAGAATTGAACTCGGGACCTCTCGCACCCTAAGCGAGAATCATACCACTAGACCAAATGCCCGATGTTGGTAGATTGTCGAAAACAGTAACATGTGAACATCGAGAGCATCTGCAAAGAAGCTAAAGAGATTTGTTACTAATCATTTGGACGTTTTATGGAAGCTCTATGCGATCCCAAATACAAGACATTAAAATTTATTTTATATATAATATTTAATTATACATTTAATTTATTGTATTCTATTTAAATAATTTATAAAAAAATACTTTAAATTAGTCACGTATTATATTTATTTTACTCAAGGAATGATTGGAAAAATATGAGAATTTCTAGAAAAATAAGATTTTAATTTTTTAAAAACATAAATGAGTTAATAATGAGTAAAGAACTTAATCCTTCTACTAGAATTTTTATGAAAAGCCTTTTATTTACATAGCTAACGAGTTTAAATAGATATAATCAATATAAGAAAATATAATTAATATCTTATCAAATACTTCCTTCATTTTTATATATAAAAAAAATTATATCATACAGTTTAAAAAAGTTTAGTTAATTATAATAATTATGTTTGAAAATAAAAAATTGGATGAAAATGACCTGTGTTAATCAACATAAGTATTCGTTAATATAAATTATGAAGGATGATTTAAAAAATGTGTAATAAATGCTTATTAAAATTGATAATTTTGCTTATATAAAAAAAATAAAAAATAATAGTTTTTTTAACAATAATAAAAAATGGAGAGAGTATTAATTAAATAATATTTATAGTATATTGTAATCTGGAGGCGATAGTAGAAATAGGTCTATATATAATGAAAGCATTTAATGCATTTAAAGCAGTGCACGATTGTGATTCATTCTTAAATGCCCTATTTAATACAGCCGTTGAGTAAGCTTATTGTTTATTAAGAAAACCCCATTTTGTGCTTCGATGGAAAAATAGTTCCACTCAGTGAATATGGAATTGCTTCTTAGAAACAAGAAACTAATGGGTCCAATTGCTCAATGGCGTATCGTTCAGTCTCTGCTTTTTCTAGTCTCTCTCTCTTAGGTATGTTAACTTTATTAAATTTTCGTCTTCTTATTTGAAACTTCTATATATTATGAATATAAATTTGAACTCCCCCTGTCAGTATTACAGGATAAGCTTTTAATAATAAATAAAGAATACTTTTAATAATAGTTATAGACCCGTTATTATTACAGAGGATATTAAAAGTTTATGATTTTTAACAGTGACTATCCAACTATTGTTAAAAAAAAAAAACTTCTAACAGTTTCAAGTTCACTGATAAAAGTTGCCAATTATTTGACATGTTGGGAAAAAAATAAAACTTTTAACAATGATTATCGTAACAACTGCCATTAAAAATATTATTTTTAGAAGTCTATTTTCAACAATACTTATAGTGACAATTGCTATTGACAATGGACTTTTATCCGAAGTTATAGTCATAACTACAGATGAAAATATTTTATAAAATTTATCACTAGCCAGCTAGCTTCAATATATATATAAACAGTTCAAATTTTAAATATAGAATTTTATAAAAATTATATAAAATTCAAATGATTTATATAATTTTTTAAAAAACTACTTAAACCTTATATATCATCCACAAAATATTGTACCCAACGTGTGAAGATGTCGTCAACCTCTTCCTCTGAGAATGAATTCACAATGTCAAATATCTAAATTAAAGTATAAAACTACAATTAAAACATTAACTATCTAATTTAAATAAAAATAAAATTAGCTTTTTGAAAATATATTCAATTCATTAGTAAATTCAGTCATTCTCAATGTGATGATATTGAATATGGTCCTTCCATCCGATATTAAAAGTGTCCATTTTTCTTTTATTGACAAGCCAACTGATGTTAAAAATTTTTAATATCGGATGGACCTTCTGCCTATTGTTAAAGATGTCTACATTTTTTAATAAAAAAATTAAAATATATTTGAACATCGATTATAGATAGATCTGATATTAAAAGTGTTAGACAACATTAGTTTTTTTTTTGTAATTGACGTTGAAAGTCAAACACACATTCATTTAGTTATAAAATTGCCACCACTTGTACTTTCAACATTGGTTGCCTTTAAACTGATGTTGAAAGTTGGTTGTTAAACTCATTTTTTGCACTAGTCTATACACGATAAAAAAAGGTGAATTTTATTATGAATCATTTGCACTCATGAAACCATATATCCTCAAAAAAAATATAACAGACTCAAGTTACTGTGAGGCTATGAAAAATAAAAACTCTCATCATATAAGTAAATGCTTTTGGTTTGATTCTCAATTTTTTTAAGTAAACAAAACTTAATTAAAAATGACACATAAAGTTGTGGTGTGGGATCAAATTTCGTTGCCAATGTAAAGGCTTTGTTGATGGATAATCTATCAAATTACTTCTTGGATGTATGACCTGTCTTTGGAGAGTTTTTAGAGACTCAACTCCCTAAATTTTTTTGTTTTAAAAATAAATTTAAATCAAGAATTGAAGGCCAAAAATATTTATATTGTGTAATTTATAATTTCTAATGCCTTTTCCTGCCTTCTCTACCTGATTTCAAATTGATATTGCAGGAGAAACTTGCATGCCAGTTAATGGAGAGGTAATAATCTCAAATAAATGATGTCTACATTATTATTGAGTGATGAAAGTAGAGTAATTAAATTCTGAAATAAAACCAGTGAATGTGTGCGTGGGGGGTTATAATTATAGAATGCATAGTGTGTGGCAAAGCCTTCGAGCAGTGAAGAAGAATTACAAGGGAACATGGACTATGCTTGCTCACAACCTGGGGTTGACTGTGCACCATTGGGCCTGGAGGGAGCTGCTTGGGCCCAAACACAAAGGCCCACCATGCCTCGTTTGCTATGAACTCGTTCTCTCACACCTTTGGAGCCCAACCTCACACTTGTTCCTTCAAAGATTCTGCCCTCATTGCTGCTTCGGATCCAAGTAATTTTCCTATTTCAATTAGTTGTTATTTTACTTTGCTAAATTAGTAATAGATCTTGTGATATTTAATTCTATTACAAGAATCTCAAAATGATTCTCCCTTATTTTTTAGAAAAAAATTTGGTGCTTTGAATTAAGATTTTAAGGTCTTGTTTGATATGATGGAAATTTTTTTGATGAAATTAAAATAGGAAAAAGATTTGAAATTAGAATTGGTATAGATTTGAGTTTTAAAATATATCTGATATATAGATAGAATTCTATTATATAATCCTTATATAATTTTTTTTTCAATATATATATTTAAAAACATGAAAAGACCAAAAAAATCTTTTTAAAATTTTAAACAATGTCATTCTCATGTGATGAGCCCAACACCAGACCAGAGGGGGGAGGGAGGGAAGGCATTTTGTTTTTTTGGTCATTACACTTTTGATTCTGAATCCTCTCAATTGCATCAGCTCACCCATGAAATCATATTCTAGTAGTTTTGCTTCAATCAGAATTCCATGAAATCCTGACTCAATGACGCCAAACAAGCATCCAAGTGAATTCCGTTTATTCCAATTTCGGTCCCAAAAAAAAAAATTTAAATTCAAATTTGTCACGGTTTTAGAGACATGATGAGTTTACAAGTTCATGATACTCTTTTAACCCCTTCTTTTCCATGAATTCTTTATGGATGTGACTCATATCTTAGAAAGAAAAAATTACTTTGAAACCTTACACAATACAATTTAATATTATAAAATTTATTAACAGCTGAGCAAATGAAAATAACAATTAAATGTGTTGTCATTTTCCTTTATCCCATTATTAATGGATCTTATGACATTTAAATATATTGTGTGAGATTTGTATGTAATTTTCTTTATCTTAAATGGGTCATGTTTGAAATTTTAGGATTATTTGTAAATATTTATATATATACTCTTTGAACTTTAGTGTTTGTTTTGATCTATTGAGTCCTTTTATTTTTAAAATATTTGTATTACGCAAATTTGGCTTAACTTTTTATATTAAGTATGCTTGATGATAGTTTACTCTATCAAAATACCTTAAGTCATTTAGTTAGTCACTCCTTAAACTTTATATATTATTAATCTGTATTCTATTTTCTAGATGTAAGAGTTCATTTTTTATCTTTAATATTTACTCTGCTATTTTTTTTCTTTTTTCATATTTTTTTCACTTTCTTCTTCTTTTTGATTGGGCTTATATTTTTTTAATTTCAGAGGCCTTAAGTCTATTCATATTCAGTCTCTTCTTTGCTCTTTTATTTTTTAAATCTTGAATTCTTTCTTTCTTTTTTGTTTTTGGTCCTTGATCAAGTGGTTCATGATATCATGCTAAACTTTTTATATTAAATATGTTTGAGGATAGTTTACTTTACTAAAATAATTTAAGCCATTTAGTTAGACATATCTTAAATTTTACATATTATCAATTTATTTTTCATCTTCTACATGTGAGATTTCTTTCTTTATCTCTGATAAATAACACTAATTTGTCTCAATGCAATGTTATAGGTTTTGGTTCCTGCAATTATACAGTGGGTAATTATACAAAATTAGCCTGTTAAAACATTTCGATAATTGTATTTTTTGTATTAAATCTTTAGTTTTATTCAACTCATAAAATTAGATAAATTTCACTTTACTAATGATTGAATTTTAAAATTAAATCAAGCTAATTTTTTAACTGTTGATGGGTTCCATCTGATACACACATATTGCTAATATACACATCCAAGGTCTTGAAAAGAAAATTAAGATTGTTGAATGCTTAGATGCAAAGTATTGTAATGAACAGCTTTGATTTGATAACATTTAACAGAGGTTTAAAAAGAATTGTAAAATTAGGTTTGACACCCTTTAATCCAAAATTTTAAAATATTAGTCTATCGTTATTTTTCACTTATACACTTTTTGTATGGTCCAATTTTATCTTAAGCCAGACTCTTTCTCGTTATTTATAAAACCCATCAAAAATTTTAAATTGCTTAAAACCAAAAGTGCAAACCAGAATTTTTCTAACTTCTAATAAAAGGAGAGATTTGTTATCGGCTATCTTAGTTGCCACAACTTGCTAACCCTTTCGTTATTTTGTTATGCTGAAATTTCTTGCAGGAGATGGCCATAGACCCCTACAAGAATTGGTAAATCAAGAGACTTCACTAGTTTTTATCCATGTAAGATTTGTCAGTCATATTATATTTTATGAAAGATGAATTTGCTTATTTTCAGCTTTGCTTATAATTATGATACTGTTTATTAATTTTAAAATTACATTAATATCTTAATTTATATTAGTTATATTTCAATACTTTTTATTACTCATTACAAGCAGACGTAATGAATAGAGTGATATTGCCAAAGAGAGCTCTTCCTTTCAAGAATTTTTTGCTTGGACCAGGTGCCTTACTCTATCCAATAAAATTATACCAATTTAATTGAATAAAGTTATATATGTAATTATTTTCAATGACTTTATTTTTGGAGTGGTGTGCTTCTTCAATTTTTATCCTTTTTTTTATTATCATCAATAACAAAATCAATTTATATTTACAAATACATGACATGTAATATTTTAATTAAATAGAGTATAGATGATATGGTACGCCGAGTTTTTATAAGAATTTCTTTTTAAAAAACATCTCAAATACATATGTACATGCATAAACTATCATTACTCGGGAAAACAAATTTATCATTTAAAAAGTTAAGAAAACACTCAGAATATAGATTGTGGAGAGGAGAATTAGACGATTTAAGTCTCATCTCAACAACGGGCATGTAGTGTTATTCATTCTAACGAGCATTGAATCTGGACTGCTCAAAATTGTTGGACTTGATATGGCTGGATCAATGAACATTATTTATAAGGTGGAACGCAAATCAAATCAGATAATGATAATGTTTAGAATAACGTTGGAGGCTTTAGTTTATCAACATTCCTGTTGTTATGACATAATGTAATAATGTGAAAACAGAGAAGATGGTGTGTAGCAAAGCCAGGGACAGAGGAAGCAACGTTGAAAGCAAACATAGATTACGTCTGTACGAAACTGGACTGCTCAGATATTCAACAGGGAACCGCATGCTTCAACCCAAACACACTCTGGAGCCATGCTTCTTTCGCCATGAACCTCTTCTTTCACAGTTTGGGCCGATCTCTTGACTGTGACTTCAGAAACTCTGGCCTCCTTGTCCTCACTGATCCCAGCACCACCCCTTTCCTCTTCTTTAATTCTATCTGTCTCTGTCATAACCTGGAGATTAAAAATCTCCTCTTTCACAATTCAATTGCAGGTTATGGAATGTGTAGTTACGGGTGAGGGACTCTTGAGTAGCAGAGAAGAGACTTGTGGGTGTGTGTGGGTGTGTGTATATATTAAAGGAGTCAATGACTGTGGTTTTGGTTGACTTGTTAAGAGCAAATGTAATGAGGAAGAACTGGAATAAGAAATTTTAATAAATGAGTTGAAGAAATGGAGGTGAATTTGGTCTGTGTCATTTTCCTATCGTTCTGTTAGAAATTGGAGCTGGCTAAACAGCCATTATTGAATATTGAAGCAGCCACAGCACTGAAAAAGTCCCATACCGAGTATCAGAAGATGCTACTCGCTGGATAGAGACTATAAAATGAAAGCGCGTTGCTAGGCGTAAGCACGAAGCCGTGGGGTAAGCACAGAGCGAACTATTCTTTCGCCTTTTACTAAAGAATACCGTGTGCTCTCCTCCTTTAACGGCATACGCCAATTTTTGAAGGGTTTCTCCCTAAAGGAGAGGCTCTCTGCATTGGAGTTCAAGAGTTATTATTCTGTTTTCTATTTTTTAAAAAAGTGAGAAAGTATTTTTAAAATAAAATTAGAAGTATGTGAAGGTAATTAATTTATATGTAAATAATTAGGATGCTACTTTTTATTGTTGATATTATCATATCATTAGATCTTTCATAATAAAAAAAAATGAGTAACCATAATTAAGTGAGTGTTTTCATTTTTTATTTTGAGAAGGTTAATCAAAGTCCTAATAATTTCTTTAAATTTTGAATTAAATTTTATGGTTAATTTTATTTTAATTAGTTTACTCCTTATTTAATTCTTTAAAATTAGAATCATTAATGAAAGATAATTCGTAAATGAAAGATTAAGAATTCATTTTTTTATTTTTTATGTTGTTAAGAAAATTAATTTGATTATGTTAACTTAAAAACATTAATATTAGTGATTAATGGTGGATGCTTATAATAGTGATTGATCAAAGGACTGTATGTATTTAAAAAAATAAAAAAAATAGTTTTAAGATGTTCTTATTTTTTATTAAAAACACAAATTAAGAACAATTTTGGAAACATTAAATTCATAACATTTATCCAAATGAGTGCTTTTAAAAATAGAAATCGAACAAGCCTTGACTTTCTCAAAAATTGGAATTTGGTAATAAATAATGTGATATAATTGGGAATAAAGGCTGAGGCTAGCAGATTGTCCATTTAAAACTTATTTTTATCAGAGTTTGAGTTTAAAAGAACTTTTAAACTTATTTTAATAAAAATATAAAATATTATAATTAAAAAATTTAACTTTCAAAAATTTAAAAATATAAATAATAAAAATTGGTTTACAGGCTTGATCTCGAGCTTTGAACCCTTTGAATAAGGGCCAAGCATCAATTTTTTTTTTTTTAAAATTCTCTAAGGTCATGTGCAACAAATTGAAGCCTTATCCTGTTTGATCTTATTCATTCTCATAAGAGTGCTTATTTTCATAAGGTAGGCTCGTTATTGACAATATTCTAACTTACTATTGATATTATGACTTATGTACCACATCCATCATGCTTACAATAGAAAAACCAAGTGTGTTTTTTTGGCCAAAATAGAAGAACCAAGTTTAGTGCACCGAAAATAGACTTCCCCGAGGCTTTTGATAAATAATTTATCATGGGATTTCATAATTGTTATTAATAAGCTTATATTATGAGATTTCAAGAAAAAAAAAGGCTAAATCTAATTTTTCCGTGCCTTTTGACAATTAAGTATCGGATTCTCTTTATTGGCTGTCTCTGCAGTCCCATGACACTTCACAGGGACATAAGACAAAGTGATTCTTTATTGCGTTCGGCACCGACTGTTTATCAAGTCAGGTGCAATTCTAACTTTCAGTTTTCATTTAAAATGATCTCTATTATGTATTTAAATTAATTTTTAAATATTTTTAATATTATATTTATTAGTATAAAAATATAAAAAATTTAATATTAATTTTGGGCTGTCTTTAGTGTTCATAAGGGAATAAACATCATGATATTTATCACTTCTGATGAGATCTACATCATTCAAATTTTAAATTTTTTTGTTTATATTTATTAAAATAAATTTTATAAAAAATATAAAAAATTTTACTTAATCTATTTATCATCACTCTAGCTAATACAAATTTAACCTAGGTGGTCTAATTTAATATTAAAATTTTTTATAATTTTACCATCTAGATAGACTCTGTATAGTTTAAATATAATTTGGATAATCTAATTTAACTTTTTTATTACCTTAGCGATATATATTAACAACAAATTGCCATGGCCTTTAGAACTTCCTTCTTCTTGAACTGTGCCAACCTTAGCTTGCTTAACTTCTAAATTTTTACTAAGTCAATTGAACCCTCATAATGTAGACAAAGAAATTAAAAAGCTTGGTTTGCCAGAGAGATACGAAAGCTTAAGAGAGAACTTGAGAGATTTATTAATTTATTTGGTTTGTTTGTGGGTTGCAAGTGAGAGGTGGGGGTTATTTATAAACTTTTTCCTTATTCTAAAGTTTTTCCACCTTCTTAATGGATGGCAAAAATAAATTCAATTCTACAGTGTATGTTTATTCTTTAGAAATATCTATAAGAAATATTTAAATATTTATGAGAATATATCTAGAGATTAATTTTCAAGATGTGTGAAATATTATTGAATATTTCAAAATATTTTAGATATCTTTACATTCCTCCATAAATTTTTAAAACCTTCTAGAAACTTTTAGATCATTTTAGATTTTTTTCAAATATGTCCATGTTGTTCCAAATGCTTGTAAAATATTTTAAAACATTTTAGAATCTTCTTAAACATCTTGGAATTCTCTTCATCATTCTAGAAGTCTCTATAAACACTTTAAATTCATTGGTTCTCTTTTTGAACATATACTATGAAAAAATGTTCTCTTATGTCTAATTAATCAAAAATGAGAAAAGAGTTTGGCGAAGAATTAAAAAAAATAAAAAAATAATTAATAAAATTATTGAATGAGATCTTTTGATTAATAATATATTTAAATATATTTGGTTACTGATAGAGTATAATGATATCCTACAATTCATGTTAGAGACCACATCTAATAAGATAAACTTGTTGTATCATAGAAAATAAATCTGAATCATTATGGATTAGATAAATGGTTTTAGAATTCGTGAAAGTGGTTGAGTAAGAAGTAAAATATATTAAATGACAGATGATTAATGGGAATTTTTGGATCATTAAATTATTATATAATTTTTTTTTCCGCATGCACTTGATATACCGCGTGTTTATGTTTTGTCTGGTAAAATTTTAATTAGTATTTTAATGGTGATGTTCTAGATCATAACTCGTCATTTATTTTCTTGAAAAACAAACACATGCAGTACAATTTCTTTCCGCGTTTCATTCCCTTTTCAGGGTCACCAAACAAACTCACTTTATCTTCATTTTATGAATTGAAATGGATGTTTTTTTCCTGATCACATTTACCAATTCCATGAAGGTCATCAAGATCAAAGAAGGAAGGTTCTAAATATTTATAGAATCAGAATCACACAATCCTTGAGTTTCTTTTTTCCCCCTCACTTCTCAAAATTAATTAAAGAGGAAATTCAGTTTTGTGACGACGACTGCAATTAATTATATGTCAACATTCTTGCCAATATTAACAAGCTAATTTTCTTGCCTGAATGAGCATTTACCAGTTATGGTTATTAAATATTAATTATTAAGTTCTTACATATATAACTAATAAAATAAGCAATCATAAAATTTTTACATAGTCTATTATTGCACGTTTCTCTCATACACAAACTTGCTCGGTTTGAAATATATTTCTGACGAATTAAGATAAGCCCACTATCGTCTTTTTGTTGAAAGATCATTTATATTCCAAAAGTATTACTATGTCAATAATGATTTAAACCCAAATTTAAAGTATTAATTAAATGAAAACTTGAAAAAGTTCTACAATACTCTCTCCTATCTATACTTTAATTCTAAAAATCATGTTTAGTTAAAAATATAAGATATTGATTAATTGTTGTAACTTTTCAACTATAGCTTTCATATTTATTATCCCTTTTGAAAGAATATTCATTATAATTTCAATTATAATTATTAAGACGTACATACATACATATAATGAAGCTAAGGTATAGTTCGAAGGATGTACAACTTTTTAAAAATTAAGATTTTAATTTTAGAATTGTGAAGCATTTACCAATACCATATATGGTGGATTAAGAATGTATAATCTCCATAATTATATGTGGCTTATATTGAAATAAAAGAACACGATTAATGCATAGAGTAAGCTCATATAACTGCTGGATAACAGCTAATTAATTAATATTCATGGATACCAGCCAATTAATTAATATTCATTTACTACTTATGAATGTCCTAGTTCTAAATCTATTTTTTTATAATTAATATGCAACTTATTATCCCATATTTTGAGGTAAACCAATCAAACAATGTTACCATACATCAATTTTTAGCAAATGTCGTCTTGGTTGTTTCTTGCTGGTTATAATAATTTTTTTTAAGTTAAATATCGGTTGTTTCTTGTTTTATGCTATTTTTAATCAGACTGATGATTAAGATGGTTCGAATTATTAATAGACAGAGTGGTGAATGAGTTGTATATTGCTAAATACTTAGCACTTGCCATTAAATAAGTCAAAATTACGATTATTAATTAAGATGTCACAATAGTTTATTAATTTACAAAATAATGTTAAAATTGTAATCAATAAATATATTACTATTGTATAAAACTAAAATCATTTACCATTATAATACTAATATTGACAAAAGTGCGCTTTGGTTTTTTAACTTTATATTTTATTTTGATCTCTTTAATTTTTTTCCTTTATTAGTCCTCTAGCTTAACACTGATGTAATTAAAAAAAATGTCAACATTCTGACTTTTGAAAAAATTACATTAGCAAATCTTGACATGTAAAATTTAATTTTTTTTTATAAAATTAAGGTATCAAACTAAAACATTATATAACATTAAAAGATCAAAAATATTTTTTGTCACTACTTTTTGTTAGAATAAATTTAATATGAAATGAATTACTAATTATTTACTATTAGATGAAGTGATGATATTCTTTAAATAATACATAAATACTGAACAATTTTATCACAATCTCCAAGTAGTAATTTATTGCCTCCCCCCTCCTCTCTAATTTGTAAGTAAGTCAAAATTACGATTATCAATTAAGATGTCACAATAGTTTATTAATTTACAAAACAATGTTAAAATTGTAATCAATATATATACTACTGTTATATAAAACTAAAATCATTTACCATTATAATACTAATATTGACAAAAGTGCGCTTTGGTTTTTTAACTTTATATTATTTTGATCCCTTTAATTTTTTTATTTTATAAAATATCCTTTATTAGTCCTCTAGCTTAACACTGATGTTTCATTAATTTAAAAAATGTCAACATTCTGACTTTTGAAAAAATTACATTAGCAAATCCTGACATGTAAATTTAATTTTTTTTATAAAATTAAGGTATCAAACTAAAACATTAAAAGATCAAAAATATTTTTTTCCACTACTTTTTGTTAGAATAAATTTAATATGAAATGAATTACTAATTATTTACTATTAGATGAAGTGATGATATTCTTTAAATAATACATAAATACTGAACAATTTTATCACAATCTCCAAGTAGTAATTTATTTCCTCTCTCTCTCTCTCTATAATTTGTAATTTCCTTCTGTGGCCATAAATCAACATGGGCCGTGGCAATATCAATTCTAAACACCTATATAAATGTGGCATCCCTCCTATGATCTTCATCACAAAACACAAGTCTTGATTATATATCAGCCATAATAATTTTCAGATTCTCAAAATCTCAAAGCCATGTCTTTACCATCTTTCTCCTTCTTCATTCACATCTTCCTCTCCCTTCTCTTTCTCTCCATCAATTCAGGTTCTTACATTACATATTCACGCTTATTTCTTCATTTCTGAACACTCAACTTTCTGCCTACTTCATTAATTTCTCATAAAATTACTTCCATCATCGCACATTGAATTCACCTCTGATCTGCATGCATTTCTCGCTTGTTATATGTTAATAACATCCTTCTTTCTTCCAATATATATACAGTGACTGACTAGTGACTACGCTGAATTTATTTGCAGGTGGCATCAAGGGGACAATAAATGCTGAGGTAATTATTAATTACACAAAAGGACCTATCTAGCATGCGTGCATGAGCTTGAAAATTCTGACGAGGTGGTACACAATGCTTATAAATATATTGATGTTTATCAACATTTGAAGTCGTACTCCTGGTGTACAGAAAACTTGGTGTGTGGCCAAGCCATCTTCGTCTGAGAAAGTACTGCAAGAAGGCTTGGATTATGCGTGTTCCAAATTGGGTGAAGACTGTGGCAAACTAGGTCCTTGCAATTATCCAGATACAAAGGCTCATCGTGCCTCCTTCGCCATGAATCTTTACTATCAATCCCAAGGAAGACAACCTCAAGCCTGCGACTTCAAAACCAGTGCTCTTATTGCCTCCTCCGATCCCAGTAATAATAAGCCATGCATTATTTTTCATTATGCACTACTCTGGTCTTCAACTCAAATCATCATTACTTTTATTTCAGCCTTAGCTTGTTGATGCTTTTAATTGATTTACTTTTCTTTCTTATTTTGCAGGCTACTCTAAAAACTGCAATTATCCTGGTGGTAAGTGTTATCATACAAGTTTTCAGAATGAGAACATGAACTGATAGTCCTGCTCTGATATTCTGTTTAATTATTGTGTTTGCAGGTGAAGCTGAAATACCAACCAGAGTAAGCGAAAAAATAAAAATAAAAATTCCCTCTCTTGTATCCAAAAAAAAAAAAGAGCGTCATAACGTATCAGTTTATAATGAAGTTATGATGATGATTATTTTGCAGAAAACATGGTGTGTGGCGAAGCCAGCAACAGAAGACAGTGTGTTGAAAGACATCATCAACAGGATTTGTTCAACTCTAGATTGTTCTGTAATAAAGCCGCCAAGTGGTCCTTGTTACATTCCCAACAATCTCTGGAACAACGCTTCAGTCGCCATGAACTTGCTCTACGTCAACTTCCCTGGTCACAAGTGTGACCTCTTCAACGCTGGCCTTCTTGTTGTCGTTGACCCAAGTACGTAATAATTTGATTCAACTAAAATTTAAGTTATATCTCTTATTAGTTATTACATGTATTCATATTAGTTGCTTGACAGATTTTGATGACATGTATATCAGTATATGCACTCTTTGACGGTTAATATGCTATATATGCTTATTTACACAACGGGTCATCAGAAGAATCAAGTTAATTAACCAAAAGTTGTTCAAGTTTTATTGATCATGAAGGTTTACGACCCATGAAGCATAGTTTCATATAAATTTTCAACATGTTTATTTTTTTTCCCTCAATTCTTTTGTTTCTAATTTGTATGTCCTATTTATAATTGCAGGTTACGGATCGTGTAACATGCCAGGGAAACTATAAATACGCAAACATGTGGAAATGGAAGAATATATATATTCAATAATGTGTGACTGAGGGATTTGGATAATTATCTATATATTGTATCAATGGAAAAACATAAGATTGAAAATAAAATTTATTAATTTTGTGAAGAACTTGTGGATATGATTTTGCATCTCAATTTTTCTGATTAATCATATTTGGTCTCTTTACTTCAGTGACAATATATAATATAAGCCGAATAATAAGTTAATTAATTGCTCATCACCATATGGCGGCAAATTAATTAATGTTTAATGCAACGGTTTTTAAGCTGACTCTAAACGATAAGCTCGCATAGACTAGGGCTTCAATGATTTCGTAAACAAGTTTGAAATCAAAATATGTTATATTTAGAACATATAAACTTGATAGATAATTAATATATGTTTCAACCCAAATTATAAATTTGATGATCCAGGCTCAACTCAATTTAATTTATAAAGCCTTAAAATAATTAAAAATGAATATTTATGAAGCCTTAACTATTAAGTCAAAAACGGGTCTAGGTCATTATCTCCACATTCCACCCATAATGAGTGACTATGATGAAAGAAGTGTTTCCTAAATTCAAGAAAAGTGGCAATCATGGGGCTTGGATACTAAGCCATGATCACCTATAAATAAAGAAGCCCTCTCTCATCAAAAGGGATCATCGTCACTATCAACAAACTACCAGTCAAATTCTTAAACTTTGCGTCTACTATTTTATTTTTTTTCTTTTATCATATAGTTTTAGTCTTTCCTTTTCTATTGTATAGCCAGCATAGCCCGCCACCTCTTTTTTTAATTAATGTATCTTAGCTTTTCTGTATTTACATTACTTTTTTTCACTTCATATTCTAGCATCTGGGTTACCTATAGTAAGGAAGCCTGAGTTCCCTATATTTGATTAGAAGTCAGGCTTTTCAATGCTTTTGAGATTTCAAGTCTCTAGCATGCTGTGCGACACTCGTTTTTTTTTTTTGCTGAACAAATTGTGGCACGCCTGGGTGGACACATGTGAATGGAATGCCTCAGATAAGTAAAGATCAATATGTTGTTGGAAAGAATAGACCTGAGTCTTATGACTCAGAGAACATGGCTGCGCACGCAAAATGTGAAGTACAAGCCTCTCGCACTCTAGTATTGGTGGGGCTACAAGCAACACCTATTATACCCACGAGCTTGGGATGAGAGTTTCAAATCCTCTCACTCAACTAAATCTCTTATTATTGTGTCTAATGATGTTGGAGCTTTGTCATCATCATCAACAAACTACCAGTCAAATTTTTAACTTTACGTCTACTATTTTATTTTTTTCTTTTATCATGTAGTTTTAATCTTTACTTTTTTGTTGTACAGCCGGCATAGCCCGCCACTCTTTTTTTAATTAATGTATCTTAGTTTTCTTGTATCTACATCAATTTTCTTCACTTCACATTCTAGCATCTGGGTTACCTGTGGTAAGGGAGCCAGTTTCTCGCATTTGATTAGAAGTCAAGCTCTTCCATGCTTTTGAGATCCCGAGTCTCTAGCATACCTTGACACCCTTTTTTTGCCGAACAAATTATGGCACGCTTAGGTGGACATGTGTGAATGGAATGCCTCGAACAAGTAAAGATCAATACGTTGTTGGAAATAATAGACCTGAGTCTTATAACTTAGAGACCATGGCTGTGCATGTAAAATATGAAGTACGAGCCTCTCATACTCTAATGATTGTGGGGCTACCAGTAACACCTATTGTACCCGCAAGCTTGGGATGAGAGTCTCAAATCCTCTTGCTTAAGTAAACCTCTTATTATTGTGTTTAATGATGTTGGAGCTTTGTCTTTAACCATGCTACAGGATCGTATCGATAAGCAAGCAACGACTTCACATACACTGATAGAAGAACTCGAGAAATAACATCTGAAAAAGAAACAGGAGCGAGCCAAAGCCTAAGAGAAGTTAGAATGCCAAGTCGATGAAAGGCAAAGAGCTTTGTTGCTAACTTTAAGTACAAGTTAAGGAACATCTTTGTTATGCTATCTAGACCATCGTAAGAACAAGCTCCAATTAGTTTGCCCATTCAAAATAGACTGACTCAAGGAGTAGTCTCCTAAAGTGCCCTCCAACTAAAAGATCAACAATGAGAACTGCTATATCATTCCTCAAAGGAGAAATAGCGAGTCTAACTCAATGGGAGGCTCATTTGGCCTCTAGAAAGGACAAAGGACAAGATACTATGAGGAGGAATGATAATACCACCAAGATACCTTTCATGAAGCTCTTCAAAAGTGACACCACTCAGCCAATGCTCTCAACAAGTCTCTCTAAGAAATGTGAAGAGATCTCAAGACTAGAGCCAGGCCTATAGTCAAGTCACTATTGAAAAGCGTAGGGGTCAATCTATATGGGCTTACTAAAAAGGACTCCATCTACAAGGTGCCTCTTCAGGCCAATTTTCAAGCTGAGGAGAAGTAGACAACTTTACCTAAAATATGGGAAGAAATTTGAAAGTCCACAAAAAAACTCAAGGCTCTAAAAAAGAGATGAGAAAGGTCTTAGGCTAATAGTTTCAGTAGCCCTTATACCTAAACTATCAATTTTTAAAACCATAAGGCTTGGCTTGTCATATTCGTTAAGTCCAGGATGTCATTTGCTATAGCCCCAATACCTGAGCTGTCATTTCTTACAACTTCTAATCTTTCAAACTCAAACGGCTTTAATATGAAGGAGTCATATTTTAAAAGATTGGATCTTAAGTTGCCAATCCCACAAGGACTAACCTCACAATGGCTAACTTAGCATAGGCCAGCATTATAGGGGCCAGAGCCATAGAGGCTAAAGTTAGAAAGGCAAGCTCTGCAAAGGCCTCTCGATAAGAGCTCTCTCCTCAAAGGCTCTCTCCACAGGGCTAACTTCACTTCACACGAGCCCGCGCCATAGGGGCCAAAGTCAGAAAGGCAAGCTCTGCAAGGGCTTTCTCCACAAGAGCTCTCTCTCTAAGGGATCTATCTATAAGATAGAGCCCCACAGCAATTAGAGTTTGCAGAATCAACCTTTGAGGTCTTAAAACTTAAAAGCGCCAATTTCAAATCCATCTCTTGAGCTCCCAAACTTTGAGAAACTTGATCTTAAGCTAGATCATATGGCCCCTAATCCTCAACCATAACAGTGTGCTTCAAGAAAAGTACTAGATCAATCATTAATCAAAATGGGAATCAATTGGTCCTCTAAGACATATTACTCATGCAACGCTTGGAAGTGGGAATATCCATAGAAAATTGACATACGAAGGCTCTTGCTAATTTGTATGTGGGAGGTATTGTTTGCATCCAAATTGTAAATTTGGTGGCCTGAGCTCAACTCAACTTAATCAGCCTTAAAATAAATAAAAATAAATATTTATGAAGCTTTAGCCACCAAATCAAGATCAGGTCTAGGTCATAATCTTCACAATCCACTTATGCTGAGTGACCACGATAGAGAAAATGCTTCCAAAATTAAGAAAAATGATGATCATAGAGCTTGGGCACTAAGCCAAGATCATCTATAAATAGAAGATCCCTCTCTTATCAAAAGGGATCATCATCATTAATAAACTATCAGTCAAATTTTTAGACTCCGCGTCTACTATTTTTTTTCCTTTTATTATTTAATTTTATTCTTTACTATTTATTGTATGGCCGGTATAACCTGCCACCTCTTTCTTTAATTAATGTATTTCTGCTTCTCTACATCTACATTACTTTTCTTCACTTTGCATTCTAGCATTCGGGTAAATTGTGGTAAGAGAGCTCGGGTTTTCGATGTTTGATTAGAAGTCAAGTTATTCCATTCTTTTGAAACCCTGTGTCTCTGGCATGTCTTTTGGTTTTGTTGAACAATATATAATAGATATTACTAATTAAGAATTCGAAAGCATAAATTAAAGCATCATAGTAACAACCATATTGTTCACCACCATCAAAATTTAAACTTGTTAGAGCATATAACTGCTCGATTTTCTACTTTTCAAATCCTCATGTAACGTGGATATCTTTTTGACTAATTAACTGTAGCAAGGATATCTTTATATTTAGTGAGCAGGGATATCATAGTAACTCACCTCCAAACAATTTTTTTTGGCTAGAAACAACCTTTCTTTTTTTTTGGGTGAAAACTAGAAACAGCCTTTTACGTCGCTATATATATAAACATTAAAATTTTTGTGATTATAGTTTGGTATGCTTAAATAATCTCTCCCCCGTCTTCTAGATGTGAGAATGTGCATCATTTTACTTATTTTTTTAATATTTTCAAGCCTGACATAATCATTTTTTAAATTATTACATTATTAATTTTAAAATTTAGTTGCCATTAATCTCTCTTTACTCGAGTACTGGCTTTGTCATTAAATATATACATAATCCCCATTTGGTATTAGGTTTTCAAGTTCATATGAGGTCACTATCAAATTGAAGCCCTTGGATCTTATTTTAATGGAATCAAGTCACTAACATTTAACAATTATTATTCTATCAAAAAAAAATAACAATTATGATTGATGAAGAATTTTCTTAATACATTAAATTAAATTAAATAATTTATAGAAAAATATTTAAATTTAAGCTAAAAATCTAAATTTTTGAAACAGACAATGGATTAAATTTATTTAATTTATTTTGAATTTTCATTTAGTTATTATTATGATTATTATCCTATTATACATTTTCAACAGTGTTTAAGAGCATGACACGTAGCCCCCAAGTCAGAACTGGGAGGAACACGGGAGTGACACTTTTCTCCCCACTCAAGTGTTTTTCTTGGGATAAGTTCACGCTGGATAACTATCACACCTTTTACTGTTCCCAATTGTTTACTGTAAGAGGAATTAAAGGTATATATTTTATTTCAAAAAAAATTCCTAATTTAGCATTTTAACTAATTTATACAATTACATTGAATATGTTTTCTTATAGCTGACAAGAAAGAGAATACATATGTTTCCAATAAAAATTAATCCGGCTACTTAGTACGCAGTTTGAGGGTGAAGTCCTATTATTTATAACTTGCATATATTGTTTTTTATTATAAATTTTCAATTGAAATATCAAATATTAAGATTGGACAATGATGGTAATTGGCAAACTGAAAGATGAACAAAATTTAGGAAGGGCAAAATTTTCGTATATTTACGACAAGCATTTTTAACGGTCAATTTATTAAAAAGAATTACTATTATTGCTTATTTTTAATTAATAACAGCATAAAATAATACATTTAACTTTTGTCATGTATAAAGGGCTAGTGAATATTTTGTCAAATATTCAATTGTATAACTAAAGAAGATAGATTGTGAAATGAAATTATATTTGGCAAGTGAGAGAAAAAGCAAAACAATTTATATATTTTTGTATTTTACAAATGAAAAAAATGATTTTTTTTGCAATAATTTATAAAGAAAAATAGAAGCATATTACAGCTTTCCATTCCTCTCAATGTGAATCAGTAAGCACATAAAACGTAACGGACTTGCCACATTTCACAAATATTTTTGGTCAAATACATAGCAGCTACTATCATTATATATTTGTATACATTAGATGGAAAAATAATTTGAGTTAAATTGGATTTTATCAAATTAATTTAATCAAATATATAACTTTTCTCACTTATGTATGCATTACGGAAAATAATTACTTTTATCACTTCATTCGAAATTTTTAATGCACCTTTCATTTCGTGATATGAAAAATTGTTATCATAATGTATTCTAGTTTGCCTTCTACTTTGAATTCGCAATAAAATTTAAAATAAATGAGAAAAACACAATCAACTCTCCCAAGTTGTTTCTTTCACATTATTATTTCAAATCATTATAAAATGAAATATTATTTTTTAATCATAATTCATCCGTTAAAAATATAATTCATTTTTTCTAAGGATATATATTAAATAATATAAGTTATTTTTAATTTTTTATTATGTAATTAATAAATTTTTTTAAAAAATATTTTTAATAAATAAATCAGTCAATTATTTATTTTTAAATGAGATATCTTATAAAATAAAAGTAAATATAAAAAGATGACTTCAGTTTACCAAATACAGTTAATTGACTTATTGAGGATTGTGATTCGATTAAATAAATTTTATATTTTAAAATGGATGAAAGAAAATAGTCTGATTTATTTTTAAAATTGAGTGCAATTGCAAGTCTCATAGTAACGTATTTAATAATAAAAAATCACACACTCCAATAACCAGTCAGCTTATTCATTACCCAGAACCAGAAAAAAAAAACAATGGAGTCTGTTGTAGATATTTTTAATATATTAATTATCAATATATAAATAATAATACAAAAGGAAAATAACTGTTTTTTTATTTATTTTTAAATTTTAAGTATGCTTTTTAAGGTAAAATATAGGAAAAATAACATCCACGGACCACTATGTAAAATTTATATCACACAAGGATCAAATGATTTCATATTTTTTTGCAGTCTTTTGGTCATTTTTTCATATTAATTTCATAAGTGAAATGATGGAATTGCCTCTTAAGTTAAAAAAAAAAAAACTTGCCGTCAGATCGCCGTCGCCTGCAAGGTCATCGAACCCTTGCTGTCGACGGGTTGTCGGTAGTTGGTCATTGAAGCTCCAAAGCTACAAACATTTATTTCAAAGATAATTGGTTTAGGCTGGCCGAGGGAGGGTTTGATTCATGATCTTTGACCACCTAAAAAGCTTGTTAACCTAGTCCTTGAATAATATATAGTAAAAAAAATATAAATAATAAACTAAGCTCAAAATTACTTTCATGTAATGACATAATTGAGTGTTGTTAATTTCTGAACAGAATTTATTATTTTACAAATATTACTTGTTAATTTGACATAAACAATTACAATTAGGGTGTTAAAACTTCACTCATTTTATTTGTTAAACATCCAATATATTGTTGGTAATTATAAATAGATTGTTGTTAAAACCAAGCAAATACTTATTAATGAATGATTAACATATAAACTAAACTCTTTCCATCAATTTTTTAACTTGTTAAAACAAAAATAGATTGTTGTTAATTTCAAATGAATTATTGTTATTTTACAAATGTTACTTGTTAATTTGACATGAACAATTACAAATTAAGGGCTTTAAATTTCATGTATTTTATTTGTTAAACGTCTCAATGTATTATTTTCAATCACCAATAAGTTGTTGTCAAAATCTAAATGATACTTGTTAATAAATAACAACACGTACAACTAAAATGGATGAAGTTTAACAATTTATTTATGATTAATAACAATACATTGGGACGTTTAACAAGTAAAACGAGTGAAATTTTAAAGCACTCAATTTATAATTATTCATATCAGATTAACAAATAACATTTGTGACATAACAAGTTTTGTTAAAAATTAACAACACTATATTATGTTATTACATAAAGTGGTATTGAACTTGGTTTAATATTTATATTTTTTTTGCTATATGTTATTATATGAAAGTGACCAAGGGTCAAAGGATCAAACCTCCTTGATCACCTAAATTAATTATCTTTAAAATAAAATGTCACCAGTGTTAGCTTTGGTGATTGGTTGTCGGTGACCCCCACAGGTAGCCGGGGTTCCAACAACCTCGCTGCCAGCGATGGTCCAATGGTCGATAACAATAGATTTTTTTTAATTTTTTTTGGTTATTTTTTAACTTGAAAAGGTAATTCTGTTATTTTACTTATAAAATTAATATGAAAGAAGAGAGAATTGTAGAACAAATATAAAATTATTTAATCCTGTGATATAAATTTTATACAATAACCCTTGAATGCTATTTTCTCCATAAATATTAGTACGATTTTGCTGTTGTTTTCACTTTCAATTTTCATCCGAGAGACTTCCTGGGCACTCTACGCGACCGTTTCTTTGGTAAGCCAAAGGCTTTACATGCCATTCGCAAAGGCTCTGCATGTATTGTCTGCCATAGCACTGTCAACCTTCCTTCTCTAATTTCAATCTCAGAATTCGAACTCAAGAATCAGAAGAAGAAGAAGAAGAAGAAGGTTCAGACTTCAGAATAGGAGACATGTTCTTCTCACAGTGCCTTCTTTCTCGAAAAGCTCCTTTAGGAACCATTCGAGTTGCAGCTTACTGCTTCAAAAGGCTCAAGAAAGTTCAAGTCAAAGAAACTGACATTTCCTTTTCAGTCGGTTCGTCCTATTCAATAAATTTCGTACCCTTCTTCGTGTCATTCATCAAATGGGTTTTTGCAGGAAATGAAAGCAAATGAAATTTTCTCTCATCAAAATCCAGCTTTTCTTATATGGGTTCATTTATAATGAGGATTCATCGTTGCCATCTTTGTTGGATTTTCTCATTGTTCCTTGAGAAATAAACATGCTCATGTTTTCTTTCTTCCTTTTATTGCTTGTGTGCCTGCGTTCATTCCTGTTTTCAAAAAACTGTATTCTGACGTTTTTGTGTTTGTTTATGTTTCGTGGCGTTTACAAGTAGTACGGAAAGTTGGTGGCGACGTGATACTGAGATTGTCATAAATTATTCACTGGTCTATTCGATTTAGTTGAATCCTTGAGATGGTATCACTAGCTTGACCACTATGCTCCCTCTTGTTCCAGTTAAAATGAAGTATGGACACAAGTCGACTTGGGTTGAAATGAAATGATCCTTGATATGGTATTAAAGTCTATCTGACCAAGCAGTCGTCAGATGGGCCCTAGTCTCTGTTCTTCTATTCGAAATTGAGCCCTGTCACAAGCTTTAAATTTTGAATTGAAAGTTTCTGACAGATAGAGCTTCATGAGTGGGGATAACTTCAAAATTATTGATTCGTCTTTCCATAATTCATCCGGTTTTCAAAGATTACATGTTTTTTCTTTTGACCTTTATGAACTGCTATCTCGGTTTTTTCGTCACTGTAAATTTCAACTATGGAAGGCATCAATATTCAGATATATTTCTTGATGTGTGGATACTAAATCGTATACGTATCTCCATATCACCTTTGTTGTAACACAGTTTAGATAAAATCGCTGGAAGGCCAGACTGCTGGGTGTTCCAAATGCTCACTTTTAATATAAAAATCTAATTGCTGGTCAAGTTTGTAGCATGTCTTGATATAAACCTGATGCTTTTCTCGCATCTATGACTTGCTTCTTAAGATAGTTTTATGGATCATTCGATGCATCACTTACATTTAATGTGAGCATTTATTACGAGAATTCATTTGTCATTATAAGTTCATGCAGTTTGGAATACACTTGATAAGATTACTAGTTAGTATATTAGTTGAATACGATGAGGAGTGCCAGTTCTTTGGCTATAATTGAGTAATGATGTGTATATTATAATATTGGGAATTGAGTTCGACTGTGCCAGTTGATAGCTCCTTGAGACAACCTATACACAAATCAATTAGAAGGTAGTGGCTATCAAGGAAAAGCTGATAATGCATGAAAAAATGGAATCTGCTGGATAGCTTTAAGTTAATCTATCTTCTACATCTTCAGGACAAGTTAAGTATTGTGGCTCATAAATTGGGATAGTTGTTATATCCTTAAAGAGAGGTTTTATGGAAAAGTTTTCTCTAGATAAAAAAAAAAAAGATTTCGTATTGTTATCCGGAGTGCACTAGCATTGCTAGATAAACTATATTGAGTAGTTGAAAATCCACCAGATATGTGCTTCATGGTAGTTAGTGTGATGTTATTAGCTTCAACTTCTGGCAGCAATTAAGATGGTTGTGTCATAGTCATCAAATTTGGTAATGGGCAGAGCAGGAAGAATGGCAATGATAGCGGTTGCAGCCAAGGGCAGAGCCATGATTTAATTATAAGGGTGGCCAAGATTAAAAAGCATATATACAAAAAAAAAAATTAATAAATCTAGGTGAGCCAGAAGTATATAACATTTATATAATACTAAGAAAAAGTTAAGAACTTGGGGGGAAGGGTGTGGCCCATGTCAGTCCCCCCTCTCTCCACCCCTGATTGCAGCAATGGTTTGCTTTGATCATGATATTGATGATTCATAAATTATGCCTGTAAACAAATTGAGATTATACCTTCAATTATTGAAAGCTTCCTATTTAAGAAGTTTGCTATTAGTCATTACTCGTTATATTTTAGCTTCTAAATGACTGTGTTACATGATAAATCTTCTGAACTTTATCATGTAAAGAAATTAACGTTACTTTGTTTTAGTGACTTATTAATTGTAGTTACAGAAAGAGACACTCTAAATAAACTAAATTCATCTCAATCGTTAATTAACTTTGTAATATGAAAGATATTGATAACTACGTTAGGTGTTATTGCTTCAATCATCCAAGGCTTAAAGCTATCAACATGGCATGTCCTTTTTTTCCTTTTTATTGAACTAACCATTCAAGAATATTTTTTTGTTTTAGTTTTGGGTACATCTTATAAATTTTGAATTTAAAGTAACCATTTCCTACGGTTCTATTTTATTCTACTTCCCTTCTGCAGACAAAATTTTGCAAGATGAAATCAACGATCAGACATATCGAGTTCTGGCTGCTCTTCTCCTTGGGGTAGTTAGAATATATTCGAAAAAGGTTGAATATCTTTTTCATGATTGCAATGAGGTTCTTTTGAAAATCAAGAAATTTAGGATCAATACAAAGGGGAATGGACCTATGGAAACCTTGCGTGCATCAATTACTATACCAGAGAGATTTGAGCTTGATACTTTTGATCTGGAAGTATCTGAAGATGTTGGCAGTGGGTAAGTTGTTATAATGTTTTGAAATTTAATTGGTTTTTCAAATTACTTATATTTGTTTGACATTTTATATTTTTGCTTCGACAAATTTCAGGGGCAACATTGTTCCACAAGAAGAAATCACACTTAAAGGTACCTTTGTTTCTCCACAATTTTCTCCTTGGAAACTATAATATTGTTTCATTAATTTATGTAATATGGCTTGGTATGGAACAGATGTGTGGGAAAATGAGCGAATTGGACAGTTTTCGCTGGACAAGGTAAGAGCTACATAGTTCCTAATAAGTTCCTTCTACGTGTCATTTTATTATACTCAAAAGTTTATAGATCCATTGCTCTCAGATAATTAATTTTTATCTCTCAATTGTTATGTTTGGATTCGCCAATCAAATGATGGAACGTGATATATATTTCCATATTTCATTTCTTCTTTCTTTTATGTTTGTTGTTGTAGCTGTTTGTGTACGTATCTAGTGCAGATTTTTATTTCAAGCCTTGTATCTCTTTTTCTTTTTGACAAGATTACCTTGGCTTATACTGTGTTCCCAAATGTTATCTTTTGCTGGAAATAACATAATTGTTGAAAAGTAAAGAACCATTATGTAGGAAAACTGAAAATAGAAGAAAGAGGAAGGTTTGAAGTAATCAACAGCTACATGTGCTCTAGCAGCTGCTTTTTTTTTTTTTTTTAGGACAAGCTATAGCAGCTGCTTTACATTATAACTGAATCAGCCACAAAATGCAACATCATGTACTTAAGTCACAAAGATGTCAATGCTTACAAGGTTTATAACTCTGAGCATCATAGCAGAGATGTAACAAAATGTAGAATCTCATAAAGAGTAGAACATCCTATGTTATTTGAACCGGTCATAGTTTCAATGAGAATGGAAGCATAAAAATTAAATGAGGGGTGGGTGACTTGTGACATGTGACTGCTGGTGAATTTAGGGCAGTCAAAAGTTACCTTTAAAGTTAGAGAGTGCTGACCTCTATCCTTGGGGCCTTATATAAGGATGCATCTGTTGAATTTTACCATGTTTTTCATCTTGTGCAAATAGTTAGCACTGCCATGTTTTACATGGTCCCAAAAAAAGTGCAGAAAAACTATGTTTATGGCTGGACTACAAATACCCAATATCTTACATTTCAGGAGTTGCAGTTTCAGTCTGAGGAGTTTTCTTGCTCTCTAAATCTCTGCTCTGCTGCCAACCCAATGGTAGAAAAAGAGTATGTGAACTGCATCCGATCCATCAATTTATTGAGGCATTTTAATTGTTCATTCCATCAAATTTTGCACTGCTGAATTTCTGTCTAAATTGTTGCATTTTATCCTCCCAAATGAACTTATTTAATTATCTAATATATGCCTTGCAGCTTTCTTCAATCTCACCATATGGACATCAACTTTGAGCTTACTGGACAAAATAGTCCAACTAATTTACAGGAAGGAAAGGATACATGCTCTCCAGATAAACAGGTGAATTTTGGCACTGATTTAGCAGTTGAAGTACTCATGGAGCCTGTGAATATGTTAAGTCCAGATAAACATAATGATGAAGAAAAGACAACAGTAGGTGAATTGTATGAAGATGAAGTCCAAAACAATAGCATCGAGAGAATTCAATCATGTGGGATTTCTCAAGACAACATACGTGTGTCTTTCCCCCGGGAGGTGGTGCCTGTGGTTCCTTTTGAACCATTTAATAAATCTCATCTGGTGCTTGAAGTTGAAGATCGGATTGAGGCTAGGGGAAACCAAATGCATCAGGAAGCTGGGGAAGTTCATGAGGCAAGGAATTCAGAAACAAATGTGGAATGGATCAGAGATGGCCAATCCTATCAAGAAGAAGGCACATTACATAATAAATCTTCATTTTACAAGGAAATGCTCAAAGAACACATTGAAGGGTCTAATGAAGATAATCATGACAAAAAAAATTTAGGACCTAATGAATATATTTCGATGGAAAGCAAAAAGATTCATGCTATTCCAGCTTCATCAATATTTATTGATTTATCTCCTTGGTTTCATGATGCTTCAACTGCAAGACGAAAAAAAGGTTTGTAGTTCTATGATTCTGTTGGATCCACTGATCCATTGACATGTGATTCTTGATTTTTTTTAATTTTCATTTTTCTCATCAAGATTATAAATTGATTTTCTTCTACAAACAAGTATTTATTCTACTCTCCCTCCCCCTACGGGATGGATAATGGCAGGTGCTACTATGCCAAAGGATTTGCTTATTCCAACACCAGCTGCAAGAGAGGGTGCTTGTTTTACAAGGAAAAGAACAATTATTACTGATGATGTGACAGTGTTATCAAATGAGTATGTAATGGTTTAGATTATTTGCAGACCTTTTATTGACATCTCTTTCTTGCAATATTCTTGTATTTTGTAGTTTTGTTGATATGTATTATATGTTTTGCAATGGTTGATCTGCATGTTTCCTTGTGGCAATGCTAGTTTGCATTTTGGAGTTTGAGATATTATATCACTTTTTGCATTGAAAGACTTACCAAATCGATAGTAAAATACTGTACTTTGGATATTCACATCATAATTGGCAAACAAGTCACTGATTTTGAGGCTTTCTGGTTTAATAAAAAAATATATGCTTTCAAATTCCACCTTTTTTGTTCTTTAAGTTTGACAGTTCTTTGTCTGGCTCTCTCTAATTTCCCTTTTGTCATTATATAGTTTTGATTTGGACAGTCAATTATCTAAGCATTGTCTGAATAATTTGCATCTGGAGCCATTTCAGGGCAGTTAAACAAAGCATATGCGATACAAGAGATTTAATTTCCAAACGAAGAAAACATTGTCACACTCTACTCAAAGCACGGAAGGAATATCGTGTTTCGACTCTTCCTAAAGGCTTCCATGACTCTTTGCTTCCTTGTGAGTTAGCAATTGTCTTTATTATTGTTGTTGTTGTTGTTGTTTTAATTTGGCTATCATTGGTAACCCTGTTTTTCTACAGGTCATTCATCAGAGCTCCAATCTCTGTTCTCCAAAAAGAAAATGAAGATATCAATGTCCCTTGAAGCTACAAAAACTCCTAGAAAGTTGGATGAGTTGGAATCTGATATAGTAGCTTCTCCAAAAACTCCTCCTCGGCTCTCAACTATTCGATCAGTTGAGGGCCTGAATGATGTAACACCTTTAAGTCCACATGAAATCTTGAGAAGAGAACAGTCTCTGAGAAATGATGACCAACTTAACCTGATGAATGAGGAAAATAATAACAATCATGTAATCTTCAAAATTCTGCTGATATATTGACTGTACAAGTACTTTTAACTAATCTAAATGGATATCACAGTTAACCTTGTGAAAAATCTTGCAGCGTAGTGTGGGAACATTAAGCTCATATGAAGGCTTAGAGGGAGGTCAATCTTTGATAAAGGATGAAGAACATTACCTGATGAATGAGGTAAAGTTACTACCATGGGACAACATTAAAATTTCTGCCAGTCCACAATATTGCATTTGTACTATATTGTATTCCATATCGGCAATCATTTACAGTTCACCTTGCAGTGTTAAACACATTAATCCAATAAAATTGAAACACATTAATTCTGTTGGAAATATTTATTTCATTTGTATGATACTTTGAGATTTGGCTTATGTGAAGTGCAGCCTGCACTTTATCAAACCCTGTACTTAGCAAATAACCTTTAATGAAAATATCATGGACCTGTAAATGATCTGTTTAAATATTTAAATAAGATATGTTGAACCATGTACTTTTATTACCTTTATCATATAATTGTCCAATATCCTAGGCATGACCACTTATTGGTAGAAGCTAAAATTTTGGTCACTTTTGCTTTCTCTATATTCTTGAAAGCACTATGAGCTAACCATTTATATATATTTTTATATTTTTGTACCAGGATTCAAATTCATTTGAAACACGGAATTCCCAATCTTGTAAGAAACTTGCAAACCAATATTTTTTAACTTGTTCCACATCTTTGTTTATTTATTTTTTGTCAAGCTTAATATGGTGTTGCTTCTTGATTTCTTTATTTGCTGCAGGTGCTTGGACTCGACAAACTAGGTGAGTCTGTGGTTAACTCAGAAATTTAGTTCGGTATTTGATTGTGATATTGGATTTTGATTGTCAACGCTAATAATATGCAGGAAGGTTGCCATGCACTTGCAGAGAAGGTTTTCAAGTCTCAGGAACCAGAAGGATGGGGAAGTTAACTTCTCACAAGCTTTTGGTTCAAAAACCAGGAAAGAATGTGCAAGGCTATTTTATGAAATATTGGTATGCTTTTTTAAGTCTTTCCAAATTATATCTTGCTTGGAAGTTTCCAGATAATATTCTGGCCCATAGGAAGATATCAATTTTCTCAATTCAGTCCTCTGTGATCTCTTCTCTTTGTAGCCTTGTAGAGTGACTTTTGTCACCAATACAATCCTCATTTTCTTTGTCACGCTCACATCATTAATAGTCACATGAGAAGACGCTCATATTATGTCAGCGTCTCCGTTAATTTGCTAATATGAGTATTGTATTGGTGATGAAAACCACATGGCAGGATTACAATGAAGTGCCACAGAAATAGGGGACCAAAATGAGAAAATTGACATCTTTCAAGGACCCAAAAAGTAATTTATACTTTTTGTTATTTAATGGCTATTGGAAACAAGCTGGTTAGGTAATAGCATATAAATTCTCATTATTGCCGGTGGCCTTGTGCCACAATGGCACTAGCACTCCTCCTGTAACAAGGACGCGCGTTCAAGCCCAAAGTGGCAATTTGTGGAGGGTGCATTGATTTTTCTTTCTTATGGGAAAGGAATAGTAGGGTGAGCGAGTGGGTATTATTTAGTAATTGTCCCTTATCAAAAATAAATAAATAAATAAATCCTCGCTATTCTACCATCATGATTTTTGGCTGGCTTTCAATAGAAAAAAATTTTGTTAGGTTAAAAGAATTATAACAATTATAGTAGAACTAGACATGCTACATATGCATTGGATGGAATTTAAAGAATGCGTTGTACTATTCATAACTTGTAAATAATGCATGTTGATGTAAATTTTATTATATAATATATATATATTGATATTGATATTGATATATTGATTGTAGCTTCTCTTTTCCTTGTGCGTGCTTCCAGCATGCTTTTTCATAAGACGATGAAAGATGTTAATGTTTTCTGCATAACAATTTTGCAGGTTTTGACAACTACAGATTTTGTGGATGCAAAGCAGCATGATGCTTATGGTGATATTTCAATAAAGAAGCTCCCGAAATGGGATGAAACTTTTGGTGTAGATGCTCTCTAAAAGGGCAGAGATAAATATCAAAGGTTATATATATACATATATTGTATGATGCTCCCTTGTGTTGCATGAGAACAATTATGCTGTTTCAATCAAACTTCAAAGACTGTTATCATTTGCTGGTTTTCTCTGATGCAGGAAAGTCATATTTATTATGACCTTTCTTGAGATGAGATATGAGAAGTGCTTTTTTTTTTTTTTTTTAATTCATCTGTGACATTCTTATGCACCACACATCTTTCTGTGGAGTTAATGAGTGATCAAAAACTACATACACAATGCAAAAATCTGGATTATAATATTATGATTAAATCATGCATATATGAGATCTAGAAAGTAATTGAAGTGCATTTAAACTACTGGGATTACTAAAAGGCTTATCATGGCTTGAACTTCAACTATTATTTGATAGAGGGGTGGACACTAATCTTCTGTTGACAACGTGAAAAGCTTAATATGATGTAATTATGGATGATGCAAAGCTTAAGAATGTTTTTTTAATGGTTTGTTATGGTTTACCTTGAAATTTTGCGGATTGAGCAGCAAGAGAAGAAAATAATATGATGATTACAAACACACATACCAACTTCATTTTACAATCCTTGAAAATGACAAACAATTACTTTCTTTTTTATTATACTGGGAGGTTCAATAAAAACGAAAGAAAGTCAGTTGGGAGATCAACTGGACACCCAAAAAAAAAAAAGGCATATATCAATTGCCAATTAAAGCAGTACATTTTATTCGTTTTGAAACAATTATTGTATAACAAAATACAATATTGTTTTACTAAAATACCCTTATTTATTGTTTTAATTTTTTACCCTTACTTTTCATCAATTATATGATTAAAAAAATTAGCGTTTTATTAACAGTTTAACACCCTAAAGTGATAATTGTTTGAAAAGAAAAGGAAAATCTCAAAATGACTATTATTTCAAAACATAGGAAGTTAATATGCTAGAAACAGTATGAAGTTCTGAAACATCTGCTTAAAATTAGAGCTGTTAGAGTTGATAAAGGAGTTGGTTGATTAAATTCCTATTTACAGCCTCATAAAGTTGTATGAAGTTGATTAACATAATTTCTACAAATTTGGGGAAACGAACATATTTTACTTAAAAAGTTTAATAATAAACGTGTAAAATTTATATTTAAGTTGTATCCGAAATTCCAACGCCAGCCAGGAGTGGCACACAACTTAAGTCTCTGCAAACTAGAAACCAAGTAAGCCAATAGAATCTTATGTGCTTTGGACTGAACAAGAGGGGTTAGCATAATAAAAACATGAAATTTAACAGCCAGGAAAGAATGAGGTGCCCTCATATTCCACGATAAAATGTAAATTTTGTTATCGGTGAAGTACATATCATTTGCGTCTCACTAAATAATCCTGCCCCCACTGGTCTTGTTTTCTAGATCCGCCATTATCATCACTCATCTTTTTTCTTTAAATTTTCTCCGAATGCACTAATATGCAGCTGTTTTCTTGACGACAAAAGATTCCTATGAAAGATCAAACTGTTGGAAGGTATTGAGGGGACTCATCTTCTATCAAAAGAATAATGAAATAACACTACAATAAGGTCAGATATATCTAAGGCCCTAAGCCCCAAACGAATGAGAGGCGAAGGGGAATACTGAATCCTCCACAAAAATTCAGAAAACCTACTAGAGGTCAACCTTGACTAATTTCCTTCTCCTTTGCCTTGCATGCATCTTCCGCATTTTTGATAAATTTTTTGGTCAATTCATCAACCTGCAGGCAGGAAAAAGTATCAGAAAATTGAAGTTATGAAATCTTGTTGGCCACTTGCCCGGAAATAGGCTTGTAACTTACTTCTTTCTCCAATCTTTTTATGTCATCCTTGGGGAGACTTGAATGCAGCTTTTTTATCACATCCATTGCCTGTAGAATAACATCCTTAGACACAATTGGCAGTAAATTATGGTACAGCTCCACTTCATATATATGGTAAGGATCACAACCATTGTAACTCAGTATAAAACCCTTTGGACACAGGCTTGGCGATCCAATAGCATTGTTTTAAGAAATTTTGAGGCATTCTCTATCCTAACTTCTTAAAAAGCTAAACATCAGATATAATAATTTAGGACAAGAAAATGCTGGGCGTTAGGTCTAAAGCGTGAAAGCAAAAACCAACCAATAGGACCCTATTTGAGAATACGTCAATGTTAAGAATGAAAAGAGTAGCATAAAATATTTGAGGGACTTCATATTACCGAACCAAAGTTGAACTAGGTGAAAAACAGATGAATACATTTAGAAAGAGGGAGAATTCTGGACGACTTGACCTGAAGCCTTTCCTTGAATTATTTAAAGCCACAAATTTTCTATAATATACATTTACAACTTAAAGTGAAAATCAAGCATAAAAAATTAATGGGAAAACATAACTTTAAGTTCCTGCATTTGCACTTTTTCTTCGGTGCTCTAGGTCCCAGCACTTTTGTTTTTTGGAGTCCTAGAACACCAAAAAATAAAAGTACAAAAACCCAGAATACTGGGAAAAAAAAGTGCTAGGATTTATAACAAAATTCAAGCAAAATACAGAGATTCAAAGTTATGTTTTCCCAAAATTTATTGCATAAATTTGTTGTCAACACTTGAAACTTGGACAAAATTTTCAGTCTATTTTTCAACTTTATTAAGCATGACATAAGATGAAGGCCTCATATACCTGCACTGATCTGAATTACCCTCACAAAGCCACATGAAGACCAAAGCTGTTGGCCAGCCTGATCCATAGACAAGTACAGTCATCTACCCATTTCCAGGTACTGTGAAGTTTACAGGGGCATTGTTGTTTTGGATGTTTTATTAGGAAGATATAGTTGTTTATGCCACTTTTTCTCAACAACATATACATACAGATCGAGGAAATGGCACAGCTTTCCACCATACCTTTTGTCGGGCCCTTCTAATGCTTTGCCGGGCATCTTCACATGACTTGGTGACCAATTTATTCATAGCCTAGATAAATGCTCAACACAGAGATATACAGCAATTATGTGTGTGAGCCATAAATTCTCGCTAAAGGGGGAAAAAGTTGAAACCACATATAACTTGAAAAGGTATTATTAGTTTACCTGCATATGCTCTTTGGTCAATCTGATGGTTACATGGTGAAGTAAATTAGTAAGTTACAATGAGCAAATATTTCATAGTTCTTTAGCGGCAAAATATCCAAATGAACTTCATTCTGACATATATCACTGAGAATACAAGGATTTAAAACCTACGGTGGAATAACAGCAATCAATCTTTCACCATCCGCTTTAGGATTTAACCCCAATGGAGAGGAAACGATGGCATTCTCTAATTGTTTAAGTGCCTGAAGAAATTATTGGGATTCAACTGTCATACCAGTTTAGTAATTAAACCTTAACAGAAATATAAACTTGATCTCCAATGGCTGTGGATTACAACTTACAAGTGAAAATAAATGTATTCCTTAAGTACATGGAAATGTAATAAAATTATATAATCAATTTTGTCGCCTTGAAGTCCATGATAAAGAAAACAAATTTAAGAAATTAAACTTTGAAAAAGTTCCAGATTGCTAGAGGTAAACCATAGAAAAGCTAGAATGAGAACTGGTTCAGACCATTATTAAGCATGGAGATAGATGAATGTATGTCTGCTTCAGGAGAGTACCTGTGGATCATATGGATTTACAGATAAGGTCTTTGGATCTATGACTGAAACAACAGCAATTCGGTTTAAAGGCATCTTCACCCCTCCAGTTTCTACAATAATATGGTCAAGCATTCCTGTAGAAACAATTCATAATGCATGTACAAGTTGATTATTAACAATCACAGAAGCAAAAAGTAAAGTTTCAAAATAAAGATGCCCTAAAATATACCAGGAGATGCCCTTCCTGTACGTAGCTTGTTTAGTTCTGTTGATAATGCAGTCATTGCTGCCTCCATCTGTGAAATAGCGTTTGCCTTAATAGTAGGCCCAACATCTGGTGGAACTTCAATTGTCTTAACACCAGCTCCATCCTCTAATTATATAAATCAAATAATTAACAAATTATTTTTTAAGTATTAATATTAACATACCTAAAGACAATATGTTTTGCATAGAAGTAAGCTTGATTAGGCAAGTCATTGGCATCCTTTTACAGAAAAATCTCATATCAACTTATGTTGTGATGTCTGAAGTCAGTTCATTTTATTCTGAGAAAATTTTCTGTATTAAATGCTCCCTGAATTTTTGCCGTGTGCTTACTGTTCGGTTAAAAGGAAATATCAAAATTACAGCGGTAAGTCCATTCACTTGGTAAACACCAAAAGAGTTAGCATATTTAATTTCTCTCCCTAAACCAACAAATTCTCCCGAGATTAACAGGACTAGAGAAGGAACGATCTGTAGAAGCTCATGTTGGAGAAGAGACAGAACGACATACTTGATTTTCGTCCTTTGGCATAGCCTCTGCGACTCTCTATGATAAAATTAGCTGCCGGGAGACTGAATACCCTGTCAATATTAGAGTTACATAAGTTGACAGGATTTTCATTGGTGCATGAGAGATCACGACCGTGGAAAGCAGAGCTCCGAAGGAGGAGAAGGTTTCTGTAGGAGAATGCACGTCTAATGAAGGTAGACATCCGTCTCCCTTGTTATTCTTTCTTCCTACTCTTCAGAACTTAAGTTCTTCACTTCACAAGATTTATTCTGCACGAGTAAATGAAATTATTCAAAAATTCTGGCAGCCTAACCCTGTAAAGAATGTTCAAAGAAATTTAGGCCCCCAGTGCAAGCACGTTTGTTAAAAATTGGGCGGAAAAGTAGCAAGTTTTCCACTTTCATAAGGCTAATTCAGCACACACGTCAACAGTTCATATTTAGAGCTTTCAAAGTGGCATGCCATACTCCGGTTGTAAGTGAAACGAGTAAGAACCTTTAATCCACCCTGCATGAACAGAAATATGCGAAGTGCCCACCAAGTCCAGAAAAAAAATAAAAATAAATAAATGTACACATTATATCCGACAAATTGGAATCAATATTAGGGTTTATAAGAGCTAGCATTTCCAAAGAATCAATCTCATATGTTGACTTTGCGAGATAGTAATTTTGTCCCCTTTTAAAAGCAATCCATATGAAAGAAAGCATCGCACAGCTTAGATTTCAAATATCAAGAGGAGAAGAGGATAAACAATCTCTTACTATTGCTTGCAGTGATGTTGCTGCCAAGCTGTCGCCGCCGGCGGCCGCGGAGGAAGGTGAGTATGTCTAGTGAAGAAGCCAGAAAGCCTTGCTAAGTGATTGTGTGGAGTGCACTCGTGCGAAGCTGCGAAGTAAGCCAAGTAGCCAACTCAATGAAACGCTGCGTTTAAACGAGAGATATGGTTACTTTTTTTAATTTTTTAGATACAATAGAATAGAGATATGGCTTCGGTCGACAAAATGAGTTGCGTCTCTTTTTTTTCCAGGGGAACACAAAGCCCTCTCCCTCCTTTTCTTTCTAGTTTCCAGCAACACAATTTTACAGAGTAAACCCATTGGCAAGCTTTTTTTTATAAAGGGAGAATAGCAACAGAAAAAAAACTCTTACAAACATGCAAATGACAAATAAATATCCTGACTTGTGATAATTATTGTGTGATCTTTAGAGACTTGTCTATCATTCTCAAATTTTCAAAGTGTGGCCAGCTGAAGTATAAAAAAAAAAACTCATATTTTATAAATCTAAACTCATATAAAACTTAACATATAAATTACAAATTTATCATTCTACTATGATTTACATTAATAAGCATAAGTTAAAAGGAACAAAATATACAAATTATTTGTAAAAATTTTGGTAGTCTTCCCTTTATATTAGATTTCTTGAAATCTTTACAACCTGTGAAATAGAATATCCAAACAACATTTAGAGTTCTACTCTAATATAATATATACATATAAACCAAAATACTTTAAACAAGGATCTTGACTATATGTTTCATGAAGCAACTCTAGAACAAAAACAAAATACTTAAATATTTATATTAATCCATAATATAATTGAAGCAACAAAATGCTTTTTGTCTCAAAGAGTCCCACAAGGTCTACTGAAAAACAAGTTCATTTCTACTATTTGAATATAAAAAATTCTTCCAATAAATAACGTCCCTAAATAATAATAAGGGTTAATGAGCATTCTAAACTCTGAATTGAGTGAAAAGCACTCTTGTCCTTGAACTCTTAAAATGTGTAAAATAGACTTTAAACTTTTAAATTTAAGGCAAATTAAACCCCACAATTAACTCTCCATTAACATTACTGTTCATTAAGTGGGGCTCAGTCAAAATGTTGATGCGTTATTTTTAATGAGCACCACAGACTCTAAACTATTATACGAGTAACATCCTGAATCATAAACTTTGAAATTCAAAGCAAATTATCACCACATTTATGTGTAGAATGCTGACTATTGTGTAGACGAAATTAGTCTCAACGTAGTTTACCACGGTAAATGCATCGTTGGTTGCTGCAAACGACCCATAATTTTATCAATGACATTTTTGCCCCTTTTTTCAATGTTTTTCAAACGATTAGTATCTCATGCTTTCATATATTATATAACTCTAATTTATTCTTATTTTGAATAATTTTTATTTATTTAATAGTGAAAACTTGAGATCTCATTTGAAAAGAAGTTTAAGTATCAAAGGATTTTATAAATCATGGATGCGAAAGCCAACAATTTCATTAATGAATTTCAAACCCAAATTAACTAGTTAATTAAAATATTAAACTTCTTTTCAAATGGAATCCCAAGTTTTCACCATTAAATAAATAAATATTATTCAAAATAAAACTAAATCAAAGTTATAGAATATATAGTAGCATGAAATACCAATTATTTGGAAAACGTTGCAAAAAAATAGGCAAAACATGTCATTTCACGAGATTATGGGTAGTTTACCATGGCCTTCACTGTGGCGGACATGTTGAGACTAATTTGATCTTTATAATAGTCAGTATTCTACACATAAATGGTGGAGATAATTTACTTTGAATTTCAAAGTTCAAAGTCCAAAATGTTACTTGCACAATAGTTTAGGGTTTGTGGTGCTCATTAAAAATGACACATTAATAGGGAATTATCACATCAACATTTTAACTATGCCCCACTTGATGAACAATAATGGCATTAATGGTGAGTTAACAGTAGGATTTAAGTTGCTATGAATTTAAAAGTTTATGATCTATTTTACACATTTTAAAAGTTCATGGCCTAGAGTGCTTTTTACGCAATACGTCATGGTCCAGAATGCTCATTAACCTTAATAATAATGATAATCATAAACATATAAAATAGAAAACAAGTGACTAATCTAATTATTAATGGTATTAGAAAATAAAAACATAATTTATCTTTAATAATTGAGTAAAAAAATAGAAAAAAGACAATAGAGAATCATAACCAATAAATTAAGAATATATCTTTTCAAAAAAATAATAATAAAAACACAATTCTTAAGGGTGAAAATATAACTTAGAAAACTTGTTTTCTATTAGGGCCTTAACAAAACGAATAACAGGTGTAGACATATATAGTTTACAAGGGTAAATAACATCTGATGTGGCTAAAAGCCACAAAAAATAAGTGTAGACATAAATCTTATGAATAACAGGTGTGGATTATATCTATGAAATTACATCCTTCCTTCCACGTGTGTTGGCTGACACACGGGGCAAGCACCTACAACATACTTTGTTAGCTAAGTGTGCCATAACGTGTTAAAAGCTAACGAAACTACTGTTAGCAACCAACATTTTATATTCAATCCTATAAAATATTTCTATCATGCATGGAATCCAAAAATTCTTATAGTTCAAAATTTTCCTTTAATTATGAAGTATAAGTAACTTTTTTAGCTATAACTTATCTAGTCTATGCATGTATAATATTTTCAGGAAAAATAAAACACCATGAGAATTCCTACATAATTAAAGTTGAATAATAAATAAGCTAATTACATATAAATTGGCTTAATCATAAGATAAAATTAAAAAGATTTATTTAGAATGATTAAAGTAGATAAATAAATAAAGTACAAGAAAGATCATCATTTCTATTTATTGAGAAACAATATTTACTTAATTACTTGGTATATCACCTAGCTCTAAATCTCTCTCCTTAAAACTGTAATAAAGTTTTTTCTTTTTCTAATGACCCTATTAAACATAATAGAATTGTAATAGAGTTTCTACCATATAAACAAACTCTCTCACTATTGTAGTACAATCACAATTAATTTGAATAAGTCAAAGTTTATCTTTCATCGTTATTTAAGTGTGTGTTTGAATAAGCCTCTAATTGAGGTTTAGGAGGACTCTAACCTCAGTTGAGGATAAGAAAGCTCATTAAAAGATTTAAAATCATGGTTGGATATAAAAATTTTCAACAAGCGTCAAAAGAAAAATAATGTTCTAGCCAAAGCTATGTCCAAGAGCTTTTTAACGAGCGTTCAGATAGGTAGGACGTTCAGATTCTTCTCTCTCTTGCTTATCACCTTCCAACTCCCATCATTTGCTCTTCTCCTTGCACTGTCGATCCTTTAGTCTTCGCATGCTCATTTTTGCCTCCTCCTTCTCGCTACCATTACTAACCTTAAATGTCATTGCTGTTCAAGGAGGTCAAGTTTGTCATGACTGCTTTGTAGTTTTGTTCTTTTCGTTGAGACTCTATCGCTCTCCTTTCATCCTTGCAACTGAAGATATGAAGGAAGAACTTGACATGAATGATGAGGACAACCTGCAAGAAATGATGGAGAGCACTGATAATGACGATCTTATCCCATAGCACTATGTAAAAGAAGGGTCTAGAAGATATTAACAGAGAAGGGGTGCCCGATTTCTTCTTCTTGTTCTTTTTTTTAATCTTTGAATAATTTTTTAATAAAAGTATAATTTATCAATTTATTTTAAATTTTTTAATTAAAAAATACTTTATAATTTATAATATTTAATTATAATTTATAAATTTATAACTTTTCATATTTGAATATTTTGTAAAGTTATCATTTCATTCTACCTTTTCAAAAATTAATATTTTTTATTTATCATTCTATTTTATATTTTTAATCTATGTTTTTAAAATTATAATTTTAAGTTTAAGATTTTTAAAAAATATTAAATTAGTCACAATATATATATATATATATATAAACTTATGTCCTTTTAAATTATTATACATCTCAATTGACTTTAAAGTTAAATTATCCAAACAAAATTCAGTTTAATTAACTAATTTAAAAAAAATGTATTCAAACATAAATTACGTTATATTCATTAACTTTTTTTTAAAATCTTAATCTCAACTATAAATTATTAAAATATAATTCTCTTTCATGCCTTTTTACAAACATTTAGGATACATAAATTTCCAAAGCAGTCAATTTAAATTTTTTAATCTTTAATCTCTTACTCCAATAATTTCAATATCAATATTATACCATACAAATCAAACTCCTCATGAGAGATTAATTAGGCTTAAGAAAAGACTGATTCTATATGCACCTTCTTTCTCTTATATTAATCAAAATAACTCAAGCGGAGTTACCTAACAAAATATAATCTTTAAAATTAAATTTCTAGTTCAATTAAATTCTATCCACTTTTTAATTCACGCATCAAACAAGAATAGGGAGAAAAGTCAAATTTTACAACAACCCAAACAACACACTCACACACAGACAGACGACAGTAGCAAAAAAAAAAAAAAGGACGAGAGATTTCAAGCATACCCATACCAAATCAAGCTAAGGGAAGAAGGAAGAACAAGTGCTGAACCACCAGAAAAGGATGAATCAACTGGGAAAGGAGTCTTCAGTGCCGCTGCAGTGAATGAAGAGGGAAGAAGAGTAGACTAACGAGAAGAAGCAAGAAAGAGAGAAGACCACCAGAATGGATATTCAACAATGTCGACGGACAAGCCACAGTCACTGGCGATTGACAAAAGTGGTCGGAAGAGAAAGAACAAAGGGAAGGAATGATGCGAGTTTCTTTCGTCCTCTCCCCCTCCCTTTTCTGACTGCAAATTCGAGAATATGCAAGAAGTGAGAGGAAGAGAACAAGGGCTTATTTGGTTTTTATTTTTATTTTTTACTTTCAAAAACTGTTTTGTAGCACAATTTTTTTAAAATTATTTTTTAAAACAAAATAAAATGAAAATTTATTTAATTATATCAATTAAAAATAGTTTTAAAATTTAAAAATAGACCGATAGTGATAATTATAAATAATTAATGGTGATAATTAATAATAAAAATTGATCAAAATAACTATAATTTTTAATAATCAAATATAGTGTATTTTAAAAATAAAGA